TCCATATATGCTTGCTGTGAAGAATGCTCAGTTGAGAAAAATAACTATTTTTGTTCTACAGTAATTGTTGTGGTTCCTTCTCAATTTTGTCTTTACTATTTATAAAAATGATAAAAATAAGTTACTAGAATCATAAAAGCCAAACGACTTATAGCTTTATTTGCAACACAAGGAAAAACCATTTAAAATTGAATTGTAGGGGCACCTGGGTGGCTCAGTCAGTTAAGCATCTGCCTTTAGCTCAGGTCATGAAGGATGGAGCCCTACATCGGGCTCCTTGCTCAGCAGAGAGCCTGCTTCTCACTCTCCCTCTGCCTGCTACTCCCGTAGCTTGTGCTCTCTCTCATTCTCTCTCTCTCAGTCAAATGAGCAAATAAAATCTTTAAGAAAAATTTTTAAAAACCATTTAAAAAATAAATAATATTGAATTAATGTGCAGTCATTTGTGATATAAATTGTATTTTTTCATTCAGTATATCAAGTATGACCATTTTATGTACAAATCAAGTGCATATAATATATATTTACCTATATTCCAGAATCAGCATACTAACCTTAGAACAGTAAAGGGCACTGGAAAATTATAGTTGTGTGTGTTTTATTCCTTACTCCATCCCTCCTTCCCCTGCCCAAATTTTTTATTTTTGTTTTTACTGAAGATGTGTATAATGTATTTTTAATTGAGATATAACGCACATAAAATTTACCACTTAAAAGTGTACAATTTAGGGCACCTGGGTGGCTCAGTGGGTTAACGCCTCTGCCTTCAGCTCAGGTCATGATCCCATGGTGCCAGGATCGAGCCCCACATCGGGCTCTCTGCTCGGCGGTGAGCCTGCTTCCCCTCTCTCACTCTGCCTGCCTCTCTGCCTACTTGTGATCTCTCTGTGTCAAATAAATAAATAAAATCTTTTAAAAAAAAGTGTACAATTTAGTGACTTGTAGTTACTTACTATATAGTGATAGTTGTACAGCTGTCTTTACTATCGAATTCCAGAACATTTCCATCATCCCCCATAGAAACCTTTACTTATTGGCAATCAATCCAGTTCCCCTTCCCTCTATGGACTTGCCCACCCTGGACATTTCCTATAAATAGATTCATGCAATATGTGGCTTTTTGTGTCCAGCTTTTTCACTTACTGTATTTTCAAGGTTCATCCATATTGCGGCATGTAACAGTCCTTCACTTCTTTTTATGGCTAAGTAACATTCCCTTGTTTGTATAGTTCATTTTGTTCATTTATCAGTGGATTGGCATTTCCAGATTTCACTTTATATTTAAATCACTGTTTTTGTTTTAAGATTTGGGAAACCAGTCTCTCCACCCACAAACCCCCATGGCTTATGCATGTCCAGATTGTTTTTCTCGCAGTGTCTAAAACAGTAATATCTGAACTTCTTTTTGTAGGTGACTTCGATAGCAACATTTCTGTAGCTCATGTATCACCTCCCTGTTGTACCGTTAAAAATCCCACCAGAGTTAACAGGAAGAATGTTATAAATGTTGGTGAGAGCTCAGTGGCCCCTATATAATTTATAATTTGATAAATGGATAATTCATCAATGCTCAGAATAAATAAAACATGAACAATGCTCTATTAAAAGTAGCAATGCTCTGAGAGGCCCGGCCTAGGAATGCCAGTGGCTGTCTCACTGGGCTCCTGGTGGTGGACACCACACAGGCTTCCCCAGGCTGCTTCCCCAGATGGCAGCGGAGGAAGCAGAGCAGGCAGGCAGGCCTGGGCAGGATTTTGAAGGACCTGCTCCCCCCTCCTTTCTCTGGTGGCTCCTCTCTCCGCACTGCGGCACTGCGGGCTGCACCCTGTCCCTCTTTCAGGTCCTTCAGGCATTCCTGTAAGAACTGTGCTCAGGAGAAGATCTGATATGTCATTTCCCCCTTCCTACCACCAGGAAAACACTTAATATCTGTTTTAAAATCTTGACACTCTCATGGGCAAAAACAAGACACTTGTTTTTCAATTACTGACTTCACCTTTTAGTACTCCAAGTCCCTTAAAAAAAGAAAAAAACGGTGTTTTCAGAGATCAGGCTGGAACTTTAAGCCTTTGTGGGTAAACGTAAAGGAATTATAAAATAACACAGGTTTTTGATCTGGTAATGTCAGGTTGGAACAATTACATTTTCTGTGGTCCTTTGAGACAGACCGGAAGCGTCTCTCTAAAACCTGTATTCACGTACCTATCATCTAGCGTCAGAATTTTGTATGACATTTTAAATTTAATTAAAATTATTAATACTAATTAAGCCCATCTGGTGAATGAGAAGTTCTGTTTTTATGGAAAGCAGTGGAGTGGGAAAATGTGTTTTTATTAGTCATGCATCATTATACCTCCTGGAAACCAGTCTGGATCACAAGGCCAAATTGCTCAGGAAGAAATAAAGAATGTCGGGTTGTGTAAAAATTGCCCGAGGCCTTTGATGGACTGTATTTAAATGCAGCTTCAGGCCAGCGCCCAGACAGTGGGTTTTGGTAGTTGGAGCGGTGCCCTGAAGTCTACCTGCCCTCCCGAGACCCCCCAGCAGACTTGAACAGATTCCCGGTGGAGCACACTTGGGGAAATAGCTCCACCTTGCAATCCCAAATCTACAAAGTGATGGCAAAGTTACGGTGACAAGTGCCAGAGTATTTCCAGTCAGCAAGTTAAGCTGGGCTTGTCACCTGATTAATGGCTTTGAAACATCACAGGTGAAAAGGGAAGGGTCGTAGTTTTGTGGGGGTAACATGTTCTGTCCGTCTGTGAGTTTAGAAATGCTGGGAGGCTGATCGCCAAGTGGCGGGCCCTTCTTTACTCTCTCAGTTCCAGCCCCTGAAGCCCACTTGAACTTGCTTCTCAGAATATGGCACCAGCTATTTCTCTAGAGACCGTGGTTTTAGTCCTTGAGGTCATTAGTACCCGATGGGAATCGAGTTCACTCCAGGACCATATTATTTAAGTGCTTCTTGTGACCCTCAACCTCAGACTCCATACACGGTTCTCTGTGCATGAGACACAACGGCTTTTGTCCCTTTTGGGAAAGCTCTGGTTTTCTGGGAAGTATAGGCAAATTGTTCTCTTTGGGGGAAAGCCAGATGCCAGGACTGAGTGACCAAGCACAGTCCTGGGTGTTCTCCCTGAGGGCAGACACCATGTCTTACTCATCCTTGAGGCCGCCCTGCATCCTGCACAGAACCTGGCACGTGCTTGTGGTGCCCAGGAGAGGGGGACGCCTGCTAGAAAGAAGGGGGTGGCTGGAGATAGTTGCTGCTTACGTGGATTGAGACTTCATCCCTGCGTTGTGCGTGTGGGTACAGAGTGCAGGCATGAGGGGGGCGGAGAGGGAGCAGCCACTGTCCTTGATATCCAACGGGCCGACTGCCAGATGCATGACAAAAGGGCCGTGTCTTTCAGTCCAGCCAAATGGAGAGGCTCCAGAAGCTTTTTTTTTTTTTTTTTTTTTTTAATTGAAGTATAGTTGACCAGAAGCTTTGTGGAGCATTATGAGAGAGGCAATGAGTTCCTTCCTGTTCTGAAAGGCCCTTTAGCGCTCTCTTCCCTAACAGGAGGGGAGAGCTCTGGGCCTGACTTCTTTAAAGAGCTGGATTGCTTTCAGCACAGCCGTACCCCAAAAGATAGGATGCCACATGACTGGGTAAGGGGCAGCTGAGCTCCGGGGGCGGGCCTAAGCGCTGCCCCCCTCCCCAAACTCACACCTGCTTGAACCAGCCTGTTCCCTTCCTGGCTTTTCAGCTCCCCAGTCTCAACCCTCTTCCTTTTAATTTGTTACCCAGAGCTCGCTACCTTTTCTTTTTCTCTTCCTGCTCCTGGCCTCCCTCTCCTTGTTCCCAGGAGTTACACGCATGTCTTGAAGTCCAGCCCTTTGATTTCTTGCAGGAAGGGGATGCCCAGGCCAGGAATTTGGGCAGCTACCCTGTCGCCTGGCAGGCAAACTCTCCTGAGAGAGGGGATGGGAATCTTGGAACTTGAGAGGGACTCAGGAGGGGGATTCCCTGGAGGGTCAGTGGAAAAGAGACGTGAATCTCGAGTACCTCAGTACTCCTTGAACCTCTAGCCAAAGAGCCACCTTGTCCCCATCAGGAGGGACTATCCATGCGATGTTCATGTTCCGCAGAAGACTTGCGTTGCCCATCCTGTTGGTGTTCTCCGTTCTCGATGGGTCTCATCTTCCTAGCCACGTCCACCTGAGCAATGTCCGTTCGTCCTCATGTTGAGAGACAGAGTTCTGACGGGCCTTGCTATTGAAATCCTGCCTTTTAGTCAGCTACTTCACTGCATTGGAATGTCAGGCACTTGCACGTCATGAAACCACTACACCGCAGAGGCCGCTGCTTTAGCATCCACATGGTCCTTATTTGTTAGGTGTGAGGTGCTCCGTGGGATTCCTGGGTTTGCCAGAGCCACCTGCTCTTCCTTAGACCAGACAGATGACTTAGTGGCTCCGCGTTTCCTTCCCTGGGCTTGCAGCGGCTGGGAAAGGGTCTTCTTCGCACAGGGCTCCAAGGCCGAGGACAGAGGGTGTCCATGCGTGCCCAAGGGCCAGCACAGGAGTACCTCTGTGGGGGGGGTTTGGTTTAGGCAGATGGTTCATTGTTTCAAGTAGAGTAATGACTCATGTCTTCTTTGGGGACTGTTAGTGCATCACAGGTTTAAGAGAGCCTGAAAAATTGCCGGGTTGTGCTGGTATTTTATCTTTTGCTTTCACACACCCATGAACACATGTGGCACGCGCACGCGCACACACAGGATTGGCATGCATTCTGACTGAGAAGTGGTTGATTGGTATGGGGTCTGCATCCAGGGGGATCTCAGGATTCTGTGCCCTTGCCCTCTCTCCTGGGTCAGGGATTCTGAAGGGTGTGTTGCAGTCACACACACATACCCCACCCCTGGGTGGACTCTGTCAGGGATAAATAGTTTGGGGTGTGGGCCCTAGATTTGCTGTCGTGACTCATTGAGTATGCATCCCTGTTCCCCCAGGCGACTTGGAGCTCCTCTTGGTGCTGACATGATGACAGTGTGCAGGCCGGCCAAGGGCAGCCACAGCCAGACCGAAAACCTGAGCTACAAATTGGCTGACAAGTAAGAGCTTTTCTCCCCTGAGAGTGTAGAAGTTGGCCCAGAGTTTCTACTTCCTTCCTCTCTCTACCGCCTTTCCCTCCTCTCTAACCCCACTTCGTTGGACTAAGGACAGGTCTTTTCCAAGTCATTGCCATGTGCCTCCTGGAAATATCGCCACATGCCGGAGAACCTGTGACCACAGTGGGCAGTGGAAGGTCTGACTAGCACCCAGTTGTTGAGAGGACGGGCCCATGGCAGCTTCACGCCCTCTACCCATTCTAGCCCAGGATTTATTTTCCTAACGACTAGGATGCATAGGCCTTTTCATTATCCTTGAACCTTAAATCTTTATAGGTGCATCTGTCCGCAAAGCCGGCTTTGCCCATCCTCTTTCAGCAGTGCTGTTTTCTCTCCACATGGAGCTCTTTCCTCTGACTCTCTGTCTCACACTCTGCGGTGGCCTTGGTCATCACAGCTCTGCACCGCAGTCCCCACTCCCTTCTGGGGCCGTAGTGTCCTGGAAACAGGACCTCAGAAAATCCTTGGGTGCAACAACCACATGGAGAGGGCCCTTTGCCTCTGGCTTCACCATCCTTGCCTCTCACTTGAGCTTCATAATTCCATGTGGTCTTCTTCAAGCCGTCCTTCTTCCCTCTCAGTTTTCACATTGGGCCTCCATGATTGTGAGGTCACCCCAGACATCTGGGATCTTAGACAATTGCAGCAACACTCCTTGCCATTTAGTACTGTCAGGAACTGGAGTGTGTGCTGTACTCCGGGGACATTAACGTATATTGACTCATCCACTCATTTGTCTTCTAAGTATTTATTGACTGTCTACTGCATGCTAGATAAATTTAAAGATAAATTTGACCTCTGCACCAGTCAAGTTCCAGTCTAGAGAAGAGAGAGAGAGTTCTTATTTATTTATTTTGGTGGGGCGAGGTGGGGGGAGAAAGAGGGAGGGAGGGAGAGAGAATCTTAAGCAGGCTCCATGCTCAGTGTGGAGCCTGACACAGGGCTTGATCTCATGACCTGAGGTCATGACCTGAGCCGAAATCAAGAGTCACTCAACCCACTGAGCCACCCAGGTGCCCCAAGAGTTCTTATTTTAAAATGAAAAAAAATAGAGCCAAGATTCAAACCGAGGTCCCCACTGACTTGAAAGCCATGTTTATCTGTTGTCAGTATTTTTTAACAGTCCATGTGGCGCCTGGGCGGCCCAGTCGGTTAAGTGCCCGACCTTTGATTTCGGCTCAGGTCGTGATCTCTTGGGTCGTGGGATTGAGCCCCACGTGGAGCTCAGCACTCAGTGCGGCATCTGCTGGAGACTCTCCCTCTTCCTTTGCCCGCCCCCCGACTCATGCCACTCTCTCTCTCTCTAAAATAAATAAATCTTTTAAAAAACCAGTACATATGATTTTTATGATTGTTTATATCATCCATTGTCATTAAGCATGAATTAATGTGAATTGTGTATTTATGTGTCTGCCTGTCATCTTGCTTCTAGCGCTGCGAGAGCCAGGGCTTTAACTTCTGCCTTTTGAACTTTCGGTAAAATATCAACAAACTGATTCTGTTTCTGCTTCTCACTAAAATCTGAATTCATACTAATGTCCTCAGTGGTGACAGGACAATTGAAAAATGTGTTTCTCTTTTGTAAGCACTCTGTTGTGCATGCTAATTGTTTATTTAAATAAGGAATTCTGCTTTGATAGCCGTATTTAAAATATGAAAATGTGTTTGCATATTCACAAGTTTCTAATTTATGCTGTCAACCACAAATAGCAACACAATTTACGTGTTAATGTCCCAATGGAGGGAGAAGTCTTCATGTAAATAATTATTAGTCTTTGGAACAGAAAGCTGAATAGTAACAGGATGCATGAAATTGCTAATTATTTGTCCCTCACTGTGACCCTTAGAGTTTCAGAATTCCTATGTAGTCAGATCTATATATTCCAAAAATGTGCTCCAGGAAGTTGGTCTGTGCGTCCTTGTTAATTTTGGCATGTCCAAGGTCAGTCTGCTTAGTTACGACCTTTGCTGTTGGAAGATTATTTTGCATTCAAAAACACTCCCGTTCTCATTAGACTAGCTTAAAAATGTTTTTCTGGTTTCCTTTCAGAAGAGCTTTTAACATCTTAGTGGTACTGACTAATCTCCTAAAATCACATTTGGAGGCTTATCTCCCGACGTGTTTGTTCTAGGCCAGAACTTCCAGCGATGATGGAAATATTCTTTTACTCTGTCCAATGTAGATGTCACATGTGGCTAATGAGTACCACGTTCTACTACTCTGCCATTGTTCCAGGTGCTGAGAATTCAACAGTAGCCCAAACAGGCCAAAATTCAAAGTAATCCAACAAAACCAAGCAATCCCTGTTCACATGAAGAAACCAGTCTAGTAGGCTCACTGTCTAGAGAAGGTCCAGTTCAGATGCAGCCAATAATTGTGGCTTTTCCTACTCAAGTCAGGACAGCTTAGGAAGCCCAGAATGAGCAAACATTTTATGACTTAGGCATTGTTCTGATTTTTAAATAGTCATCACAAAGGCCCATCCATTGATTCCAGAAACAGAGGAAATCTGGACTATGTAAGCTTTTACCTCAGAAGATGTTCCCTGTTTTCATCAGGAAAACAAGCTGACAATAATGATAACGTTATACACTTACGACATGCTAAATGCTTAATGTGGCCTTCCTCTTTCAATGTTTTCAGCCACTCTGGTAGATACGTATTATCATTATTCCCATTTCACAGATGAGGACACTTAGGCTTAGAGAAGTGAAACAGCTTGTCCAAGGTCACACAGCTGGTCAGTGGTTAAATTAGGCTTTAAACTCAAGTCTACTGCATTCCAAAAATCCAGTAGATCATTTCATTTCATTCCACAATACTGTCTTCCTAAGAAGAACAGAGTGATTTCTTAAAGTGGTGGTTTCAATGTTTACTATTTAACAGCTAGCATATAGCATTTGTATCTAAGTTCTAGCTAGTCTCTATGACTAAGAATCCATTACCCAATGTTTGTCTTTCTTGTTCAGGGTCAAGGTGGAAGGTCCAAAGGCTGGGGAAGACCCTCGAAGGCTGCCATTTAGGTCCCCCATTCCTTTGCCAGAGACTGATCAGGATTCACCCCCCAGAAGAAGCTCATTGGAAAGTCTCAGTAACCTGATGCTAGAGTCAAGAGTGAACTGTCTTCAGCAGAACATGTTCAGCTCAAATATGATCATCAGCGACCCAGCTTCACGTCTCAGTGCTAAAGAAGCCAGCAAGGCGGGCAAGAGGCAGCTCAGCAGTGTTCAGAACCCCTGCCCTCCTGCCCAGGGAGGGGCCCTGCACAAGCCCCTCAGCATAAAGGACAAGATATCCAGATGGGAAGGGAAAAAGGAGTTGTCCACCCCTGCACCCTGCAGGAGAGCAGATGGGCAAGAGGACTACCTGATGTCCTGTGTGATGGGGAGGAGGAACAGTGATGGTGTGAGAGCGTGGGTCACAGAGGTGCAGGATGGAACCAGGCCCGAGACAGAGAGCAAGGAGAATGAGAGGAATAAAGGGGTCATGAAAGTTGGGGGACAAGATGCAGAGCCAAGGCAAGACAACCAGCCAGCCAGGCAGCTGGCTCCCAGCTTGGGCAGAGGCCGAGAGCCCAGGCTGGGCAAACAGCGCTTTCCGAATGACAGCCTCTCTGTGCTGAGGCAGGTCAAGAAACTGGAGCAGGCTCTGAAGGATGGGTCAGCCGGGCTGGATCCCCAGTTACCCGGGACTTGTTATTCCCCACACTGCCTGCCACACAAGGCTGAGGAGGGGCCCACCCTCCCTGAGAACCGTGGGGCCGGGTGTAGCTTGGAATTCAGGTCCCACCACTGGGACCTGGAGGCCAGGGACCCCACCCCTGAGGCTGCAGAGGAAAGGAAAGGCTTGTGCAGGAGGCTCTGCGACCAGAGCCTGGAGGGTGTGGACAGGGGCTCAGAGGGCTCCCCCGCAAAACCCTTCATCAACCCCCTGCCCAAGCCCCGGAGAACGTTTAAACACGATGGAGAAGGGGACAAGGACGGGAACCCAGGCATCAGCTTCCGGAAGGATAAAAGGCACCTGCCTCCTCTGCCTTCTCTACCTCCCCCGCCCCTGCCTTCCTCTCCCCCACCCTCCTCTGTGAACAGAAGACTGTGGACCGGGAGGCCGAAACCCAGTGCTGACCACAGGTAGGTGGGGGCCGACTGTCCGCTCAGTGGCTTATGCTGCATCACAGCTGCTCTCAGGTGGCGGCTTACTGGTTTTATTAAATGGGTGGGTCTTGTAGTTGGTCCAGACTGGTCATAGCTTGAGACAGTGTATTGATGAAACCTGCAGATGTGATAAGTGATGCCAGTGTTTTGTGTTCTCCGTCCTCAAAATGAGAATTAGCTTGGGAAAATTACCCTTTGGATGTGACAAGTCCTTCTATTTCTGTCACTAACCAAGAGTTCAACGAAAACTCGTGGTAACTCTGGCGGTGGGCTAATTGGTGCTGACTCTCATCCGCCACTCCCATCCCCCACTCATACATGGTGTCTCCAGTCTCTGCTGGCTCCTGTCTTCATGCTTTTTCTTGGTGTGAGCTCTAGAAACACAGCCCGGGTTGGCCTCGGCCCTGTTGCTGTCACTCTGTGTGACCTCGAACACCTTGTCTGACCTCCCAAAGCCTCCGTTTCCTCATTTATACATAAAGATGCACACCCTAAATCTTTTATAATGTCAGAATAGTACATGAAATAATAAAGTATGTGCGTGCTTGAAGATCAGATCGGCGCATTGGAAACTGTTTCTTTCCTGCTTTGAGAGCTACTTTCTAGCCTATTTCTGGGATGTGTTAATTGGTTTGATACCCACTAAACTGGAAACCAGCCATAGAGGAAAACTCAGAGCCGTTGTCTCTGCTCTGGTCACCCATTCTGCACTTTCTGTTTTCCCCTTAACTCACTGCAGTTACTTTTGCCACTTACCCTGAAACTGCTCTTGACCCAAGGCCACCTGTGACCCCCATCTCACCAAATCCAGTTGCCTGTTCTCTGTTCTTTTCTTACAGGACATGTCTTGGCATTAGAGGAACAACTTCACCCCATTCACTGGGCTTCTAGATCCCCTGCTTTCCTGGCGGTCCTGCTTCACATGCTGCTCCTTCTCAGTTCCATTTACCTCTCCCTGAGTGTCAGAATAAAACCCCCAACACACCATCCTGGGTGAGAGCAGGCACTTCTCTCCTCTGTCGGCCTCATTCCCTAAATGAGCTCATTCAGTCCCATGGCGTTAAATGTCAGTTACATGCTTATAACCCCCACATGTATCCCCACAGCCCTGACTCCCTCTTCCAGCGAAGGTTTGCAGGGTCATCTCCGGCATGACTGTCCCATTTGGTTGTATTCATAGTTTGGACTGAACGTGTCCAAACCTAAATTCCCAGTCCAGGCTACTCTAAGCGTCTCCTCCCCAAATAACAGCCATCTTATTAAATGGCATTACCCTTCGTTACACTTCGGCCAAATCCTAGGAGTCGTTTGTGATTCCTCTCCTTTTCACAGAGCCCTGATCTAATTTACAGCATGTTGGAGACATGCCCTTGGATGTGACTACATCTGCTTCACTGCTACCACCTTAGTTCTCTCGTGTCCACTTCCCACCCCAGTGTATCCCTCCATAGCAGCCAGAGCAGTCTTCTAGAATTCTATTCAGTCATGTCACTGGCCTGCTTTACATGATCTGTCAGGTAAGATTGTTTTGGCTGCAAAAAACAGAATTTCTTAAGTTCTCTTCCAAGGGAAAAAGTTTGCATGTTCCAGATAGGTACGTAGGTAGGTAGGTAGGTAGGTAGATAGATAAATAGATGAGAGAAGGGAAGAAAGGAAGAAAGAAAAAGAAATTATGTCCTTTAAAAAAAAAGAAATCATGCCATATATATATACACACACACACACTGTTTTTTACTTAGGATGTCATAGAGATCTTTCAACACTACCACTTTTTTTTCACCTTCCTTTTTTATTTTATTTTATTATTTTTTAAAGTATTTTATTTATTTATTTGACACAGAGAGAGGGCACAAGCAGAGGGAGAAGCAGGCAGGGGGAGAGGGATTAGCAGGCTCCTCACTGAGCAAGGGAACCCGATGAGGGGCTCAATCCCAGGACCCCGGGATCATGACGTGAGCTGAAGGCAGCCACTTAACTGACTGAGCCATCCAGGCGCCCCTTATTAATTAAAAAAATTTTTTTTTTTTTGCTTTTTTTAGAAAGAGGGAGAGCGAGCACTGGAGTGGGTAGGAGGGAGGGGGAGGGGCAGAGGGAGAGGAAGAATCCGAAACAGGCTCCACGCCCAGCAAGATCTTACAACCCTGAGATAAGCTGAAACCAAGAGTGGGATGCTCAATTGACTATGCCACCCAGACACCCCTATGCTTCTTTTACTTAGGGTTTTATTTATTTATTTATTTTTAAGATTTTATTTATTTGTTTGACAGACAAGAGATCACAAGCAGGCAGAGAGGCAGGCAGAGAGAGAGGGGGAGGCAGGCTTCCTGCAAGCAGGGAGCCTGATGCGGGGCTCCATCCCAGGACCCTGGGATCATGACCTGAGCTGAAGGCAGAGGCTTTAACCCACTGAGCCACCCAGGTGCCCCTTACTTAGGATTTTAGAAATTAGGATTGAATGTTAGATTTTTGTCAGGTTACTTTTCAATAGCTTTATATGATCATACGTTTCCTGTCCTTTGACCTGTGAATAATGACTTTATATCCTAATATTAACCCATTCTTACATTTTGGGAATGCACTCTCATTTGGTCCTGGTTTGTTACTCCCTTAATATACTGCGGAATTCTGCTTCTAATACTTTATTTAAGATTTTGGTGTTAGTATTCCATAAATGTGACTGGTCTTTACTTGGCTTTCATTGTACTGTCTTTACCAGGCTAGGGTATCAGTGGTACGTAGGATCTTTTGAAGAACTTAGAGGCTTCCTTGTTTATGTTCTGAGAAAGCTGTATCTGCCTCCAGTTCTTAATCCTTTCCCAAACTGGTGCCAAAACCCAAGTGCCTAAGTACTGGGGTGACCTTTCTGCTCATGACCCCAGTGTGTCATGACAGCAGCTCTTCTGTGCCCTTTCTGGACTGTTCCTCTAGGAAGGCCCCCCTTTTCAGGGACAGGTTGCTTCTGGGAAATCAGAATCTTACCTCTGTGTCATCTCTGGGCAGATAGATCAACCTAGTGAACAGTTATTCCCATTATCTTTTCTCTTGTAGCTACCATCTGCTCTTTGTGGTCTTCCAGCATTCTCTTTAAAACCAGCTAAAGTTACTTAGTTTCAGTCCAAAAATGAAATTTTTCTTGGCCAGTTTGAATATGGTTGCATCAGCTGTGTTTTAAGAATTTTGGCTTTGGATTTTTCCTTTTGTTTAAAATAGTACAGTGGGGGTGATTAGGGCACGATGTTCACTTTCTACTTAGAAAAATAAAGCGTACTTTTTATTGTGGTCTTATCTCTTAACAAAAAGAAGAGGCTCAACTCAAATTTGGCGGACTTACTGCCCTCTCTGAAGCAGGAGAGCCAAGCCAGAGCTGAAGAAAGGAATGATTAAGGATTTTGAGGTTGGGAGGGTTTAGAATTACATGGCCAGGCTGCGTACTTCAGAGAATGCACTGGGCTCATTTTCATAGGCCGATGAGCCGCTTCTGCGGGAGCCAAACCAGTGGACTCAGATGCTCAGTTTCAGAAAATGTCTTCTTTCTTTTCCTTCTCTTCCCTTTTTTTTTCTGTTCTGTGTTCTCTCCCCTCCTCCTTTTGTCCCTTTCTTCTTTCTTCATTTCTCTAAAGCCCCAGGAAATTAAAAGCAAGGACTTGTGCCTTCCATCCTAAAATGGGAAATGAGAAACCCTTAAATGTCAAGAAATTCCAAAGATAAGGTCCCTACAGCAGCAGTCACTTGCTTGTGTATGTCCTGTGACATGCGTTGAGTAACGGGCAGGAATGCCTTAAAGCCAACATTTAACAAGTTACTATTTTGTAAGTATACGTAGGATCCTGAATTCACACGTATCTCTATGCCCCAGGGGTTTGAACGGGAATGCAGACTTTTAATTTCAGTTTAATTTGATCCTATGACAGAGTTTTTAGATCTTTATGAAACCGAATAATGATGTTGACCGAAATTTCAGCTTTTCAACTAATTATTTTGGCATTGTATAGCTTCAGCCTTTTCTCGGAGCTTTCGCATGTGACTTGCAGAACTTTTGGAGGACGTGAAACCTTGGTCATTATATGGCTGCCAAGTCACATGCCTGATGTTATTGATTCAATAATTTGCGCCTTCTGTAGGACTGACTGGGACCCCCAGAGTCGTCTGGCTGGACAGCAACCCTCAGCTATTACCCAGTTAGTGGCTAAGTTAACTTACCAGCCATACTGCAGTCTGTCCCTGATATTAGGAGTCTGTCCCAGTCAACATGACATCCATGAGGCAATTCTGACTGCCATGTCTAAAAACTGAGTGTTGGGGTGCCGGGGTGGCTCAGTTGCTTAAGTGCCTTTTGCTCAGGTCATGATCCCAGGGTCCTGGGATTGAACTCCACATCGGGTTCCCTGCTCAGCTGGGAGCCTGCTACTCCCTCTCCCTCTGCTGCCGGCCCCTGCTTGGCTCTCTCTCTCTCTCTGTCCAATAAATAAATAAAAGTAAACCAACACTGAGCATAATAGGGCACCTGGATGGCTCAGTCTGTGAAGCGTCCCACTCTTGGTTTCAGCTCAAGTCATGACCTCAGGGTTGGGCTCTGTGCTCAGCAGGAAGTCTGCTTGAGATTCTCTCTCCCTCTCCCTCTGCCCCTCCCACGTGCACTTGCACATGCACGCTCATGAATGCAGTGCTTTCTCTCTCTCCTAAATAAGTAAATCTTAAAAAGAAAAGAAAACCCGAGTATTTAAAATCTTCAAAAGGGGAAATTGTTTGATTAAGACCTAGAGCAGAAGTTACCTGAAAGCACTGGAGAAGCTTGATTTTGCAAATTCATTTTTTTTTTTAATTTTTAAAGATTTTATTTATTTATTTGACAGAGAGAGAGAGATCACAAGTAGGCAGAGAGGCAGGCAGAACGAGAGGAGGAAGCAGGCTCCCTGCTGAGCAGAGAGTCCGTTGTGGGGCTCAATCCCAGGACCCTGAGATCTTGATCTGAGCTCAAGGCAGAGGCTTAACCCACTGAGCCACCCGGGTGCCCTAAATTCATTTATTTTAATGGTGGTTGCATTAGAAAACAAAGACACGAGAATAGAGAGGATAGTTGTTATTCTACATTAGAGCAGTGACTGTCATGTCTTATTTCGCCCTGGAAGTGGAAATGGTTGGATGTTAGGCATAATGGGGGATAGAGATGTTTTTTCTTCTGACGTTTCTGTTTTGGATTCAGGATAGAGATAAGCAGAAACCCAATGTGAGTAGCAGTTGCAGTTGTTGGAGGGGGTCCCCAATAAGAGTGTGGGCTGAGCTATCATAAGTCTTCTCCCACTTAACCCTCACACTGATCACCTGGTGACATGAATGCTCCTCCCAAGGGCGTGGTGGGATGGGGAAAGAGCTGCGTGTGGTTGCTGGGGACGGAGGTAAAAGAGAGTCTGTGGCAGCGCAGGTGGCTGAGGCAATCAAAGCATGGTTTTTACAGTTCCCAGCCCAACCAAATGGTGTTTGAAGTGGTGCCTAGGTCCCAGGCTCTCCAAGCTCATTTAAGTCATAGCTGAGAATAATCCTGGGGGAGATATGTTCCAAACAATTGACTAAAAATTAGCTCCAAGAATACAGCTGCCTTATTTTCTTTACCCCAATGGAGGGATAAACTATAAGCAGTAAGTTTGGCCATTAAAACCAGCTTTTAAAATATTTACTCATTTATTCAACCAACAAATATTTATCATGCACCTCTGTGATATTAGCATATAGCAGTGAACAGAACAGACGGAGACCCTGGTCTCCCGGACCTCCCAGACTAGTGGTCTTTAGACGTACACAGCTTTGCAGTTATGAACTATAACCGCACTCAGGGCTGCAGGAAGCTTGTGGCACTGTGGGAATGTTCAGTAGTGGTATCTCACCTGTTCTGGAAACAGGGCCGCACTGGGGAGGAAGCAGCCCTCCCACAGAGGCCTGAGGTTCCCAGGCAAGAAGGAAGGTGGAGATGAGTGTTCAGGTGAGAAACAGATGAAGGTCCCAGAGCAAGAAAGATTTAGTGTGCCCAAGGCCCTGAAGGCAGGAGTGTGGCCAGAGGGTCAGGAAGGGTGTGAGCTGAGGCCCCCAGGTCTTCTGTAGCCGGCTCTGGAAGAGTCCCATAGACCAGGCAAGGATTTGGGTCTACCGCCCAAGACAAATGGGAAACATGTCAAAGTTTTTAAGAAGGAGAGACTCCCAGCCTGATTTGCATTTGTGAAAAGCGGACTGGGAGGGACACCAATGGGCCTAGTGGGTAGCCGTGGGTGGAAGGCAGAGCCTGGAGACGTTGGGGTTGGCCTGTGGTTTCACTGCAGTGGGGACTGAGGGAAGTAGGGGATACTGGGAATACTGCTGGTAACTCCAGCAAATTGGTTAAAATTGGTTAAAATCACTCTAACTAATTGGTTAGAAATGGGTGCTAATGGAGAAGGGGATTTGGACAGGACTCCCAGGTTTAAGGCATAAACATCTGGACAGATGGTGATAGCCTTTGCTGAGGAGCACTGGAGGAGGAGCTGGTCCTCACCCAGGAGGGAGAGTGGGAGGCTGAGTTCAATTTTGGATTTATTCATTTTGAGATTCCCGTGGGTCATTCAATGGGGGAGGAGCTTGTAAGACAGTATTTCATTTATAAAAATATGGAAAAGTCATGAATAACCTTCAAAATACTACTTGAAATCACAGTATTTGGCACTGGTTGTCAAAATTGGGATAATACCTAAGTTATAACCCTTGTCATCAAACTTCAGTGAGCCCATTGGAGCATTCCAGCATCTCTAAAACTAGGAAGTACCACAATCACATGATAATTTGAGGGCCCGAGAAGCAAACTGAGGCTGAGAGGAGGTTACACCCCTTCACCAGGCTGTGGATTCCCCGAAGGCAGGGTCTTCTTGCCTTTGCATTACCAGCTGTGGGCTCAGCTCAGACCCCAGAAGGTGCTTATTAAACATATGGACTGGATGTGGAACAAATATGGAAATGTTTAAAACAAGAGAGAAGCCAATTTGGATGTGGTTACTGTTAGCCTTTTGAAATTCCCTTTTGTGCAAGGTTAATATGTAAATAAATTTTATGACTACACGTCATAAAATGAAATTCCCTTTTGTGCAAGGTTAATATGTAAATAAATTTTGTGACTACACGTTTCCTCCCATATTGACTTACATCCATACTCCCATCTAGTGCCTGCACTAAGAGCACCATTCACCACCAGACTTCCAGGTTCTGACCCTGACTCTACCACTTTCTCCCCATGTGACCTTGAGCAATATATCTAACCTCTCTCCATTTCTTTATTCTCATGTATAAAGTATGGATAATAATAGTAATTTCTCACAAGGTTGTTGCCAAGTTCAAACGTGCTAATCTGAGTAAAGCCCTTAGTCGCTACTCAGTAAATGTTGAGTGAATGATTCTGTGATCTCTTTGAACAGTTTGCATCTTCCTTACCAAATCTAGGTAGTGTGCGTTCTGGGGACTCTAGCTAACATGATCTGGTTAACTCAGCAGGGAAAACCCAGGAGTTGTGCCTCACTCCAGCCCAGTAACTTTGCTCTGCTCTGGCTCACAGACCACCACACCCCCATCCTCAAGCCACTGCCTGGCTAGTACCAGCCTGGGCTAGGCATCCCTGACTAGGGAGTGTTCGGGAGTTGGGGGCGGGGCACACTGCACGACACAATCCCACCCTAGAGAAAACAACTCAGATCTGCTTCCCACTCACCTAGACCCCCACCTCCTGGACCTCTGAAACTCAGTCCTTCCTCTCCTGGCTGGACACCTCAAGGGGCGGGAGAAGGGGTGCATGGAGAGAGAGCCCTTCCTTCACAGCCTGAGCTCCTGTGAATGAGTCAGGCCCCCCAGGGCATAAGTGACAGTTTTCAGCCTCAAGACCTGACTTAAAACCATAGGCACCTRGGCTGGAAGCTGGAAGCCTGGCCGTTSTTTGTGTTCCTGGGCCACGCCACAGGCTGAGCTCAGGATCAGAAGGAACAAGGGTGGAGTGGAGATAAGGGGTGATGAATTCAGATGTGGAGATACAAAGTTTAGAATCTAAACAAAAACCTTGGGATACGCCCAAAGCCCAGAAAGAGAGGATAATAACCACTCAGTGAGAGAAGTGGGGAGGTGCCCAGACCTCTGGTCCACTCTGAACTGGCCTTCGCTGCTCCTTTCCGATCATGAGTGTGTGCTCTGTAAACATTGCAGAGTATTTAAAAAGTTCAGTAAAGTGAAAGTGAAGAGAAGCCATGAGCCATTCATCACTCCCGAGATAGTAGCTGTATATTTCACTTCCTTCCCTCTTCTTCTTTTCTATGTATATGATTGCTTCCAAAGTTGGGACTGTGTGTGTGTGTGTATACACACTTTGCTACCTTTACACAGCATAACAGCGTAAACATTCTTTCACACAAAAGCCACACTTCTTATTTAAGGATTTTCATACCTTCTTGCAAGAAACAGAATTGATTTCAGTAAAAGAAATGTTTGCAGGAAGAAAATTGTTTGGTATATAATCTCTGGACCAGCCCAGTTTGATTCGAGTTCTTGTTTGCTTTTCTCCCATCTTGTACAAACCAGAAAGTCCTATGAGTTTGAAGACTTACTGCAGTCTTCCTCTGAGAACAGCAGGGTGGACTGGTACGCACAGACCAAGTTGGGGCTCACACGCACTTTATCCGAGGAGAACGTCTACGAAGACATTCTAGGTAAGAGGCCCACATGCCTGTGCATGGGAATGAGTTTGTGAGAAAAGGGAGAGAGGAAATGGGGCTTAGTGCTTGAAACACAAACACACACACGTACACACGCACATGCACAGAGTCTCAAAGAAATATATATACTCAGATAAATGAGCGAGCCAGGAGGGGTGAGAGAGAGGGACCCTCGAGGGACATGTGAGAGCACGGGGACCGGGAGGGGTGTGGAAAGGCTGCTCAGGAACCGCCACAGAGGTGGCAGGGTGCGGCGGGACGCGCTGGAGACGTGGAGTCTTGGTGGCCATGACTGACTCTCGGCTCTGCTGTGTTAGGTATATGCCGCTGAGCCGGGGCCTTAACTCCTCTGAACTTCAGTTCTCTCATCTGTATACTAAAGATGACCACAGCTGCCTGGTCAGGTCAGGGGTGGGAGAAAATGGGAGGCAAAGTTCCTCGTATGTCACAGATGCTCAGTGAAGTGTGGAGACTACCGAATGAAGGAAAACTTGGGCCACCACCCTCTCCCTGAATCTATAGGAGTGTGGCAGTAACAGGACATCAAAATTCAGACTAAAATGAATGTCTGTTATTAAAATTATATCTAATGTTGGCCTTAATTCTTTTAAATTCTCAAGTGGAGCTCAGATTAGTAGAGTGTGTTTGCATTTGAATTAGTGAGTTAACTACTCCGCAGGGAACATCACAGTTTGACTGAGGTGGGAGCTGGGCCCACTGTCTGCTTGTCCGGGCGGGTGAGGTGGGTAGTCAGGACTAAAGGAGCTGGTAAGAAGGAGAAGCCCACATGCGGCCACAGGCAAGGGGCAGGTAGAGCAGATACATACACGCATATGTGCATACAGTCACCAGTATCAGAAGAGAAGACTCCGTGGTGGGAGAAAACAGGAGACTAGAAGACGGGTGTGTGTGTGTTTAGCCGAGCTATGAATTTCACCATGGACAATCTGAATTCTGGTGTCCAAGTTGTGGAGGTGGGTTGCTGCCAAAGCCGTAGGCTTCCTAGGTCCAAAGTGGTATGAGATCTGGTCTTCCATGTGTACCTGACAGGGCAGCTTTCAGTTACAGAGAACAGAAGACCCCACTGAAGTAACAAGGGCGTTTGTTGGCTCGGTGACCCAAAGTGGCCTGTTCTCCCTTGTTTCCTATCTCTCGGGTTAGCGCCATGCTCAGCAGCTTTCCCATCATCTCCATGACGGCTGCCATCAGCTCTGGAGAATCCGTACCTTCCAGTTGGAAAAGAAGAACCCTTGTGCTGCACCCAAGAAAAACCTGAGGTTCACTCTGACTTTGACGAGACTGGTTTAGGTCCCTTGTTCACCTTCATAGCCCAGGAATCTGTGCACTGATTGGCGTAAGCTTGGGATATGAGCCCTTCCCTGACCTGGACACTGAGGCAGGGACTGGCGATACTCCAATTGGCTAAAGCTCTGCAGCTCAGAATGGAGTTAACTCTGTACACCTAAGACCTAAGACTGAGGACATGGGAAGTTACCCCAGTGAAAATCAGGGTACAGGAGGAAGGGCGTGAATGGGTAACAAGATATCAGACATCCCCACAAGGAGAGGCCAAGGTGTTGGGTAGATACCTGTTAAGGCAAACTTACTTGATGTTCCCAGTTCCTGACTTGCTGCCTTTGACCACAGATCCACCAATGAAGGAAAACCCTTATGAGGACGTTGAGTTACATGGTCGCTGCCTGGGAAAGAAATGCGTCTTGACCTTTCCTGGTTCTCCCACTTCTTCCATTCCTGACACATCGTCTAAGGTATGAGTCCCCAGGGGAGCAGAGTGGGGAGAGTGGTCCCCTGCAGCACGATGGCCCTGAGCAGCCTGGAGTTCCGGATTATGCTGGAATGCCAGGCCACCGTCACTGCTGGGCTCCTGGATATGTGTATTGGCCACCTGCCTGCTCTTCTGCCTCTAGTTTTTCTGGAACCCCTCTGCTCAACCAAACATCCTAAAATAGTATTGTAGCTTCTGGGTCAAGCTGAGTAAATATGACAGTACACCCATATTATACAACTATAAAGATTGTCCTGACCTAAAACAAAGTTTCTGGTGCAGAAACAGTACTTTTATAGCATGCTACCATTTGTGGGGTTTTAAATAGAAAAATATACATACATGTTTATGTACATAGAAGATTATCTCTATACAGAAACCTCAGAATGAGTAAGTGGGGACGTCTGTGGAGCTGTCTGGGTGAATACCTGGAGGTCAAGGTAGAAACTGACATTTTTTACAGAATATCCTTTTGAGCCTTTTGGAATTTTGCACCATGTACATATAGGTAATAAAACTCTATTCCATATAACGCCTTGCCTACAGGATTGAATTCATATTCCTTAGCTTGACATTAAATAATCTTTCATAATTGATCCCTGGGTACCCGTTACTACCTAATTTCCTACATACAAAAGCTCCCTTCCAGCAAGAGCCTATTAATTGCCCCTCTGATATTAGAGGCCCAGGACTGGCAAACGTTTCCCCCAAAGGACTAGAACGTAAATATAGGCTCTCTGTTGTAACTACCCAGTGCTGCCATTGTAGTGCAAAGCAGCAGTAGACAGTATCCAAACAAAAGAATGTGCTGTGTATAAAAAAAAATACTTTATGGGGCACCTGGGTGGCTCAGTGGGTGCCTTTGGCTCAGGTCATGATCTCAGGGTCCTGGGATCGAGCCCCTCATCAGGCTCTCTGCTCAGCAGGGAGCCTGCCTGCCTCTCTGCCTACTTGTGATCTCTGTCAAATAAATAAATAAAATCTTTTAAAAAATGAAAACAAAACCTTATAGACACCAAAATTTGAATTTTATGTAATTTTCACATCATGAAATCTTACTTATTTTCCAATCATTTAAAAATGTTTTAAAGATTCTGTTTATTTATTTGAGAGAAAAGAGAGAGTATGAGCTGGGGGGAGGGATAGAGGGAGAGGCACAAGCAAACTCCACACTGAGCAGGGTGCTCGACATGGGACTTGATCCCAGAACCCTGAGATCATGTCCTGAGCCAAAGGCTTAATCAACTGAGCCACCCAGGCACCCCACCAACCATTTAAAAATGTAAGAACTGGGGTGCCTGGGTGGCTCAACAGGTTGGGGCTCCTGCCTTCAGCTCAGGTCATGATTTCAGGGTCCTAGGATCGAGTCCCCCATCGGGCTCTCTGCTCGGCAGGGAGCCTGTTTCCCCCTCTCTCTCTGCCTGCCTCTCTGCCTACTTGTGATCTCTCTTTGTCAAATAAGTACAAATAAAATCTTAAAAAAAAAATGTAAGAACTATTCTTAGGTCATGGCCTATATAAAAGCAGATGGAGGGCCTGATGTGGCCCACGCGTTGTATTTTGCCCACCCCTGTGCTAGGTCATTTCTATGTCTGCCCTTGGTTCTTGCCTTTCTCTCCCCATCCTTTAAGGCCCAGATCAATCATGCTTCCTTCAGGAAACTTCTAGGTCATTCCAGTCCCTGGAACTCCTTCCCCTCTTAGTCAGTGGGCTGAAGTGTTCATTTTATACCAAATTGTGTATACTGCATTATGATATCTCTTTGATGATTTGAAATATGATTTAAGTTGTGTAATGTATCTTAAAAATATCTCCCCAGGGGTACCTGGGTGGTTCAGTGGGTTAAGTGTCTGCCTTTGGCTTGGGTCATTATCCCGGGGTCCTGGGATCGGAGGTCTGAATCCAGGTCCCTGCTCTGTGGAGAGCCTGCTTCTCCCTCTTCCTCTGCCTGCCTCTCTGCCTACTCGTGCTTTCTCTCTCTCTCTGTCAAATAAATAAATAAAATCTTAAAAAAAAAATCTCCCCAGCTACATTATGAATTCCTCAAGTTCCTCAGTAATATGTTTGTGTCCCCTATAAATAGTTGTTATACAATGTGTAGTTGTTCAAGAAATTAAGTAAAGGAAGGCCAAATCTAGGCTGCAAGTATCAGCTTAAATCCCATTGCAAAGATCTATTTCCAGCCCAAGAAAGGAAGCCATGTTCCTCTCTGGGCCCCAGGGAAGGACAGCATTTGCTAGCAAGTGGGGGGTCTCCACAGAAATCGTGCCTTTTGTGTTCAGTGGTCACTCGGGGAGTCTGTCTGCCACTAGTCCTCCTGAAGAGAGTTGAAGGTAGAATCCATCATGAAGAGTAGATCTCACCTAACCAAACCAATTCCTGTCATTCTTGTGAAAGCTAGCTAACTGCAGTTTTGCTCCTCCTACGGAAGAATGTTCTCATGGCAGAGTCCAGCCCAACAGATCATTGGAAGACAGTTCCTACTTGCCTCTGAAGTGTATTTTCATTGGCTATAGATGCCTTCAACATTCAGGAAGCCCTTCATTTCCCATAGTGGATAAGCTTGGCCTGACAGAGGAAGGGGGTCACAACTCGGTCTGCCCCTTTGTGTCCCACCTGGCTCTCCCCTGCCCTCCTCTCATGCTGAGAAGGCACTGCTCGCCTCTTGGAACAGTGAGCAACATCTGCCCACAGCAGCTGTGCAGTCTGAGGGAGGCTCCTCCCTAATGCCGGAGAATAAGGACCCATCAGCCCTTTTCTTCCTCTTCCTGCCAGGCTAGAGCAAACCCCAGTCCTCTGTCACCAGAACAGCTAAACACAGTAGGTAATCATGTCAGCAAGAGCTTGAGGTCCAGAAGCAGCTGTCCTGCAGAAGGACAGTCTGGGTGCCCAGGAAGCATGTCGGGATTGCCACTGATACATGAAGGCTGCTTCCAGCTCTTCACAAGTCAACAGCAGGACTCAGCGTCCATGCTCGTTCCTCTGCTCTCCCACATCTGGGTGTCCGGTTGGTGCCCCCATTGTGGGGGACAGCTGCAGACTTCACCACTTCCTCCGTTTAGCTCATCAAATATTCATGAAGCATCTGCTGCATCTGGGCCGCATCTGGGACCTTAGAATTGGCAGAAGCTATCCCTCTGTGACCCACTCCTCTATCAGCCTCTGAAGAGCCTATGACAGCTTTTAGGATTTTCATTTAATGAGATCGTGGCCAGTCCCAGTCCAGAGGTCAGGGTCAGCTGGACAGACAGGAGCAATTGTGCAGTTGGGGGCAGATGCTCATGGTTATCAACGCACAAGGCAAGCTCCTGAGATTAAGCCATTTTCTTTTCCTGCTGTGTGTTACCCACCATTCCCACACCTAGACTAGCACACTAAATGTATTAGGAACTAATTTTTATAATAAAGGAAATCTAGGCTAGCACCATTTTTTCTTAAGCAGGTTCCACGCCCAGTGTGGAGCCCAGCCTGGGGCTTGAACTCAACAGCCCTGAGATCAAGACCTGAGCTGAGATCAAGAGTTGGACACTTAACCGACTAAGCCACCCAGGTGCCCAAGGCATTTTTTTTTTCTTATGCACTGGCACGTAAGACATTAGGGAACAAAATGTACCATTAACTAGCATTCTCTGGTTGCCTGGAGAGCCCATCCACACCATCTCCCACCAAAAACTGTACATTACTTAACCGTAACTATAGAGAGGCAGTATCTGGTCAAGCGTGTGAGTTCTAGAGTCTGACTGCCTGCATTCAAAACTTGCCTAGACCACTTGCTAGCTGTGTGACTTTGAGCAAATGTTCTCATCTACACGTGTCAGCTTTGTCATTGATAAAATAGGAACAATTAGGGATGCCCGGATGCCTCAGTTGGTTAAGCAGCTGCCTTCGGCTCGGGTCATGATCTCAGGTTCCTGGGATCCAGCCCCGCATTGGGCTCCCTGCTCAGTGGAAAGTCTTCTTCTACCTCTGCCTCTGGCCCTCCCCACCCCTGTTTGTGCTCTCTCTCTGATAGATAAATACATAAAATCTTAAAAAAAAAAAAAAAAGAACAATTATAGTACTCTCCTCTTAGGGGTCTTATGAAGATTAATCAAATTCATACTTGTAGAGGCACCTGAGTGGCTCATTCGGTGAAACATCTGCCTTCGGCTCAGGTCATGATCCCAGGTTCCTGGGATCCAGTCCCACTTCAGGCTCTTCTCTCTCTCTTGCTCCCCCTGCTTGTGTTCCCTCTCTTACTGTGTCTCTCTCTGTCAAATAAATAAATAAAATCTTAAAAACTAATTCACACTTGTGAACCACTTAGTCTAGTGCCTGCAATATAAGTACTATTTATGTATGTTTGTTAAATAGAGAGAATTAGGCTTTTCAGTATGTGTTCTTTTTAAAAATAACCTTATTTCATCTCATCACAACATTCTCATCACAAAAGTTTTTTAAGGGGCGCCTGAGTGGCTCAGTCATCTGTCTTCAGCTCAGGTCATAATCCTGGAGTCCCGGGATCTGGCCCCATGTCTGACTCTCTGCTCAGTCGGGAGTCTGCTTCTTCCTCTGACACCCCCTCTCTTGTGCTCACTCTCTTTGTCTAAAATAAACAAAATCTTTTTTAAAAAGTTTTTTTTAAATACTGAAAAGGATAATGAGGAATATAAAACTCATCCAAAATTAAGAATTTTTATTTTTTCTATAATAGATTGTTAGTGTGCATGTGTGTGTGTATGTGTGTGTGTACATAAAAAAGACTTGGGATGAGGTATATATACTTTTATATTTTTGCTAGTCTTTTATATTTATCCTGAATATTTCCCCACATCATTAATTTCTTTTTTAAAATAATCTTTATTGCCTCTATGGTATCCTGTCGTTTAAATGTAATGTCTTTCTTTACATTAGTATAATGTGTCAATTGTTGAAATATGTGTGTATGCCTTCCTATGTATTTCTATGTGTGTATATGGAAATATGTGTACCTGTGGGCGTATATGAACAAATGTGTATGCTTCTGAGAATGACACCTGGGTACTTGGAGGAGGCCTTTAGGAAAGAGAGTAGGAATGAGGTGGAGTTAGGTACGGAAGAGATGAGATATTTTGTATCTTCGTCTCTTTACATCACTGTCTCCTGAAGTCATAAGACAGGGACAGTGGAAGAAAGGAAGGAGTTAAACCACCATTCTCAGATGAGAACCCTGGCTCAAGTCCAGGTCAGCTCCCTCTAGGGAGGCATGCAGTTTCCCTCTCCTCCCCACCAGGAAGGCCCCTGGCCAGGGCCCATCACACTTGGTTCCCCAAAATAACTCATGAAGTTTCAACAGAGTTCTTGTCTGCTTTTCTTTCTTGGACACCACAGATCTTTTGCTGGGTCCATCGTGAATCCAGTGTTTATGAGATTAGGGAAACTCTGTGGGCCTCTGCAACAGAGTTAGGCCCCTTCCTAGAGGCTGTTCCAGAGAGACACCATGGAATGGGCATATTATCACCAAGACATGTTGGTGTGAGGCTTTCTTATCAAAAGCTGGAATCTTCTCTGGGCCACAGCCTGACATAGTCATCCCTAGGGTCCTGCAGGGTCTTTCCTTTTAATACTATAGTTCGAGTTTGGCAAACTACTGCTGGGTGACTGGTTTAGTAAATCAAGTTTTCCTGGAACATGGCCACGCTCGTTCACATACATTTTGTGTATGGCTGCTTTTGCACTGCAGCGGCGGAGTTGAGTAGTTGAGACAAAGCCGAAAATATTTACTGTCTGGCCTTTAAGAAAAAACTTGCTGCCCCCTGCTAAGGACTAAGATTCACACCCTCGTTTTCAAAGGCCTTCCAGACAATTCGATGTCATCATGGCTGTATCATCTCTTCCATCTGTTTCAATGCACTCACTCTGAGCCTTGAGCACCCTCTCTGGTCTAACTTTTTTTTCTTTTAAGATTTTATTTATTTGTTTGTCAGAGAGAGAGCACAAGCCGGGGGAACAGCAGGCAGAAGGAGAAGCAGGCTCCCTCGCTGAGCAAGGAACCCCATGCAAGACTCGATCCCAGGAACCTGGGATCAGGACCCAAGGTGAAAGCAGATGCTTAACCAGCTGAGCCATCCAGGCATCCCTCTGGGCTAATTTGCACTTCCTCACTTCTTTTTTTTTTTTTTTAAGATTTTGTTTATTTATTTATTTGACAGACAGAGATCACAAGTAGGCAGAGAGGCAGGCAGAGAGAGAGAGGAGGAAGCAGGCTCCCTGCCGAGCAGAGAGCCCGATATGGGGCTCGATCCCAGGACCCCGGGATCATGACCCGAGCCGAAGGCAGAGGCTTTAACCCACTGAGCCACCCAGGCACCCTCACTTCCTCACTTCTATGCCTCTTCTCAGATTGTGCTACTTGAGAATGCTCTACCCCAGAGCCCTGTAGATCCTCTGTTATCAGTTAAGTAGCAGCTGGAATTCCACCCCCTCATGAAAGCTCCCTGGACATTTGGAGACTGATTCTGGGTGCTCTGGGGGGCACACCAGGGCCCCATTCCCTGGCAGTGTCACCACAGGGGGATACAGCCCACACAACCCCAGCCCTCAGGCAGGTCTTTACAGAGCTGGGTGCCATGTTTTGGTATCTTTCTGTTTTCTTTCTTCTCAGACCTTTTCATAGGTCAGATCTTTGAACAAATACTTACAACTTAAAAGTCTACTGAAAACAGATACCTGCTTTTTGCCGACTAATTTGATAGGCAGTTCTAATGCAGTGAAAGAAATGGGGCCATTTGCTTGGATTTCACTACAGATGGAATTTGGTCTGTAAGAAAGCTTGTCATTCTTTCTTCTTTTTGTGCTGGTGTAATTATTAAGATGCCCACCGTGAGCAAACCATACTGGCTTTTTCTACTCAGGGCTTATGGTACTAAGCAATTGATTGCACCCTGTAGACTCATGATTTAAACATCGGAGCAGGCCACTTAGGAAAGCTAGGAGTCTTTACTCCCAGAAATCTTTAGAAAAGGTTCTGGAGTTTGTGTTATATACTATTCAGAACTATACAAGAATTGAGAAATCAATGGAACAGAATAAGACTATTCTATGAATTTAAGATATAATGAATGTGGCCTTGTAAACTGATAGTGAAAGACAAGAGTCATTTATTAAATGGAATAGGGATAACTTAGCTTGGAGTAAAATCAGTTTAGACTAACATATAACAAAATAAATTACTGATGGATTAATGAATAAAATATGTTCAAAGTAGACTAAGAAAATCCAAAAGAGAATGGAATTAAGTATGTATTAAACTCCTAAAAAGATACAGATTTTCTAGAGAGGCAAGATTAAATCAATTGCACAGAAAAGATAAACAGATTTTCATATATAAAAATTTTATATGATAAAAAAAACCTATGGGAAAAACACACTTGCAGTAAAACTGACAAATATTTCATATCTGTTCTAAATAAAGAGCTCATTCAAACTAGTAAGAAAAACACTGGGTTCCCAAAAGATAAATAGGCAAAGAACATAAATAATATACTAAAGAGGGGTACCAGGGTGGCTCAGTCAGTTAAACGTCTGCCTTCAGGTGAGGTCATGATCCCAGGGTTCTGGGATTGAGCCCTGCATCAGGCTCCCTCTTGGGGAGCCTGCTTCTCCCTCTCTCTTTGCCCCTCACCCTGCTTGTGCTTTCTCTCTCTTCCTCTCAAATAAATAAATTAATTAAATACTTTAAAAAATAACATACTAAAGAAAAAAGCGGTTAGCATATTAACGTTTGAAAAAATGTCCATGTTACATGAGAAAAACATATTTACTGCCTTTTGTGTATCAGGTATTTTGCTAGATGCTTTATATACATTTTCATCACCTAGTTCATTAATTCATTTTTGAAAAAACACTTTGGGATGCCAGAGTAGCTCAGTCATTAAACGTCTGCCTTCGGCTTGGGTCATGATCCCGGGTCCTGGGATCGAGCCCTACATTGGGCTCCCTGCTCGGGGGAAAGCCTGCTTCTCCCTCTCCCACTCCCCTTGCTTGTGTTCCCTCTCTCTCTGTGTCTCTCTCTCAAATAAATAAATAAAATCTTAAAAAAAAAAAAGACACTTTGCAGTTATAATTATAGTATCATACAGTGTGTGTCCTGAAAGTACCTTTAGGAAACGGGTAGTCCAAGTAGTGTTTTTTTTTTTTAAAGATTTTATTTATTTATTTGTCAGAGAGAGAGAGGGAGAGAGAGAGAGAGCATGAGCACAGGCAGACAGAGTGGCAGGCAGAGGCAGAAGGAGAAGCAGGCTCCCCGCAGAGCAAGGAGCCCAATGCGGGACTCGATCCCAGGACGCTGTATCATGACCTGAGCTGAAGGCAGCCGCTCAACCAACTGAGCCACTCAGGCGTTCCCCCAAGTAGTTTTTAAATTTTATCTTACTGTTATTTATTTCCATGTTGATATATTCATATGGTTCAAAATTTAAGAATATGAAAAGTATATAGTGACAAATCTTCCTCTTGCCTCTGACCCTCCATTTCTCTCACCGAGAACAACCACTGTTAGTTTCTTATGTATCCTTCAGAGCTAGTCTATGCATACACCAGCAGAATAGCTCCTTAGAACACACAAATATCAAAATGTTATACCAACAGTTCTACCCCTTGCTTTTTTTTTTTTTAACATTTTTTAAAAATTTATTTGACAGAGAGAGAGAGACATCACAAGTAGGCAGAGAGGCAGGCAGAGGGGGAGGGGGAAGCAGGCTCCCCGCAGAGCAGAGAGCCTGATGCAGGGCTCGATCCTAGGACACTGAGATCACGACCTGAGCCGAAGGCAGAGGCTTAACCCACTGAGCCACCCAGGCGCCCCTGCTTTTCCTTTTTTAAGATTTATTTATTTATTTGACAGAGAAAGGTCACAAGTAGACAGAGAAGCAGGCAAAGAGAGGAGGAAGCAGGCTCCCTGCTGAGCAGAGAGCCCGATGCGGGCCTCGATCCCAGGACTCTGGGATCATGACCTGAGCCAAACGCAGAGGCTTTAACCCACTGAGCCACCCAGGGGCCCCTGTATTTCTTTTTCTATAAATTTTCCATTCCTGTTTTGTTTACCTATTTGTCTTTTCATTAATTTGTAGTATGTTTTAGAAAAATAACTTCTATAAGTTTCAGGGTTTTGGGAAGGTTTTTGTTCTTTATTTTCCTTTCCTTTTCTTTTTTTTTTTTTTTTTAACCAGTTTTTCTTTTTTGACCTTAAAATAGCTCATTTTTAGAAATGCACTTTCTCACTTCTCAATCTCACTTCTCAATCACTAAGACACCGAGCCTTAGGGATTAAAACTCTTTGTACAAGAGGTACTCAGCTTATCAGCAGCAGGGTCAAAGCTGGGCTTAGGTTGTCTCCCTCCCAATACAGTGGGTCTTGGTTCTCAGAATGCCTGATTTGTACAGATAGGGGATTGAGCTAGTGAATTCCCCCTTGCCTAAGAAGAGAGACTGGATTGGGAGTGCCTGGGTGGCTCAGTTGGTTAAGCATCTGCTTTTGGTTCAGTTTATGATCCCAGGGTCCTGGGATCAAGCCCCATATCACACTCCCTGCTCAGTGGGGAGTCTGCTAGAGATCTCTCTCCCTCTACCCCTCCGTTCATACTCATTCAATCATGCTCTCTCTCTCTCTCTCTCTCAGATAAATAAATAAATTAATAAATAAAATCTTAAAAAGAGAGCGAGAGAGACTGGATTGGATCTGCATCCTTAATCAGAGACAAACTCAGCATAACCCTGGGAAGAAGGACCAGCTGTCCCCGCTCCGCCTCATAGTCTGTATCACCAGCACCCCCAGCTGTCTCCCACTTGGTCCTTTGTCTTTACTCTTTTCTTTTCTTTTCTCCTTGCCCCTTCTAGCAGTCATTGGCCAAACCGGCTTTTTTCCGGCAAAATTCAGAGAGGAGGAACTTCAAACTGCTGGACACCAGGAAGCTGAGTCGGGATGGATACGGGTCCCCTTCCAAAATCAGCCCCCCCTCCACTCCCAGCAGCCCTGATGACACTTTCTTTAACCTTGGAGACCTGCAGAATGGCAGGAAGAAGAAAAAGATACCCAAGGTAAGGCTTGCAACAAGCTTCATGTGCAGATATGCACTTTCCCTTCCCTGCAAAGGAAGGTTGCAGAAGAGTGTGGGCAGAGAACAGAACACTGGCCCTCTTCTACCTGCTTCATCACAGACCAAGTAGACACTGTGAAGCCCTCAGGGCTGGGCTATCTGGGCTATCTGTGGTCCTGTAGTTGTCCCCTTAGCCATTCTTGTCCCAGCCTAACCTCTCATTATACTGGTGATCCCAGACCATGTTTCCAATACCCGGCCTCAAAAGGCCATTTCCTCCTCCTTCACGGCCTCAAAAAGTAGAGCTCCAGTCATCACACTCTAACTCACACTTTGCCCAAGACTGGATGCAGAGGCCGTGCCATGTGGAGCCTGTGTTCTGAGGCAACACTTGTCAAAAGTATATCTTTCCTCGCTCTTTTCAACCTGAAAGGTAAAACATGCCCAGGGGGATGTGGTTCCTAATGCGTCTGCTAGTGACTCGGTTCCCTTTTGCACTATTCCAGCCCTGCCGTGCTGGTCCCCGTGCAGTGGTAACTTTGGTGCCAAATTCGTACGGGAACTTTTAGAACAGGGATTCTTCATTTCAGGGTATGTGGGTGGATGGATTGGATTTAGGGATCACGAAACCCAGAAAACTGCATAAGACTTTGTATTGAGAGTTTTGGAGGATAGAGGGAGGCAAGAGGGGAAGATTATAGGTTTCATCAGATTTCTCAAAGTGATGCATTGACCTGAAAATCATGGGACATTTGCAAGCTGGTTCCTCCTAACAGTTTGGTTAGTCAGTATTTTGAGCCATAATTTTACCCCTACCACAGCTGTCCCCAACTTTCTCATTCAAATGAAGTTAAGTCACCTTGCCCATCAGAGTACCTTCTGAAGAGTAAGGGCCGCAAGGGTCCTGTGGTTGAGAAAACACCTGTAACCTGCAGCCTGGTCAGAGGGGACTTGTAGTTGGCACAGGAGAGAAGCCATTTTCCTTTGTTTTGCTGATGAAGGGCAGACAAAGGGACCAGGACGGGAGCCTCCCCCTTCATGTTCTCCCCATTGACCTTGTCCTACCCAGGGCCCAGGGTGTGGAGCAGGTTGCGTATTGATTATTTGATGTTTGCTGAATGAGCTCCACTAAGCCATGGACCCCAGTCTCTTTCAGCATGGATTCACTCCCATGCCTCCCCTCGGCTGTCCTCCGAGGTCACTGTCCTCTGCCATCATGGTAGCTGCTCCGGGGCCCCCAAGGTGTGGTGTCTCTAGCCACTCCCTTAACTCCCCTTCTGCTTGTTCTGGCATCATTATAGGTATCTATAAGGTCAAAATGCTACAGTTGTGGAATAATTAAAAGTGGCTATTCACATCCATACTGCCAGCCTCACCATCATTTTAGCAAATTAAACAGGGATAATCAAATGAATTAGCTGTTGGGTTAAAAGAGCTTTAACACAACTCTAAGTTTGAGTACGTGATTCTTTTTTTTTTTTTCTTTTAAGATTCTATTTATTTATTTGAGAGAGTGAGAGAGAGCACGTGGGGGTGGGGCACAGAGAGGGTGAATCTAAACCAGACGCCCTGCTGAGCGTGAAGCCCAATGTGGGGCTGGATCCCCCGACCCCAAGGTCATGACCTGAGCCAAAATCAGGAATCGACCTGTAAGGACACCTGGGTGGCGCAGTCGGTTAAGCATCTGCCTTTAGCTCAGGTCGTAATCCCAAGGTCTCGGAATCAAGTCCCACATAGGACTCCTTGCTCAGTGGGGAGCCTGCTTCTCCCTCTTACTCTGCCACTCCCCCTGCTTGTGCACAATCTCTCTCTTTTTTTCTCTCTCTCTCTGTCAAAATCAAATCTTTAAAAAGAAAAAAGAAAAAAAAGAATTGGCACTTAACCTACTGAGCCATCCAGGCGCCCCCTAGTACAGAAACAACAAAACTTAACTCCTGTTAAAGTACAATTATGTGAGAGCATGTTTAAAGCTTTTCTCTCGGGGGAAAATTTTTTAAATAAAAAGGAACAAAGAGGGACGCATGGGTAGCTCAGTCGGTCGGGCTGCGCCTTCGGTTCAGGTCATGATCCCAGCGTCTTGGGATGAGTCCCGCATCGGGCTCCTAGCTGGGAGGGGAGCCTGCTTCTCTCTCTGCCTCTGCCTGCTTGTACTCTCTCTCTCTCTGATAAGTGAATAAAATCTTCAAAAAAAAAAAAAGGAACAAAGATTTATTGAGTGGTGTATATATGGCTTCCACTTATTCCATGACCTGATTTAAGTGAGAGGAACGTTCTCTGTCATGTCATTTATACTACCCACATGGCACTCAGAAACTGTCTTGTAGGATAGCTACGAATGCATCCTGGTCCTTCCTGTAAGCTTGTAAACTCCCTGAGAATGGAGGCCATGTCCCATACATCTTTTTACCACCCCCCCCAGCTTCTAGCAAAACCCCTTGTACATAGGGGACGCTTAGTATTTATCCAACAAATTCACAATCAACAGATACTTGTTGAGTACCTACCACGTGCTGGGCACTGTTCCAGCTCATACAGGGACTGTCATCGAGCAGCAAACAGAAGTGACCAAGATACCCACCTGTGAGGAACTCACGTTCTGGCGTTCACTGCATTTTAGTAAGTGAAAGGGTGTTACCTCCATCATAGTGGTCTTCTTTCTGGTTCATTGGATATTGGGTGAGAGGAGGCCAAATGGGTTTAAAAATTCTCCTCCCAGAAGAAACAATTTGACCTAGTAACTCATTTGTTTATTTGTATATTTTTAAATTGTAGTAAATAAATATGTATAACATAAAAACTGCCATTTCAACCATTTTTAAGCATACAGTTCAGTAGCATTAGTGCTTTTACAGTGTTATACAGCCCATCACCAGCATCCATCTCCAGAACTGCTCATCTCCCTAGACAGAAACTGTGCGTTCTGCCCTCCCCCCGCCTCTGGCAACCACCATTCCACTTTCTGTCTCTATGAATGTGCCTGTTCCAGGTACCTCCTATAAATGGAATCATACGGTATTTGTCCTTTTATGACTGACTTATTTTTCTTAGCAGAACATCCTCGGGTTTCATTTATGTTGGAGTGTGTGTCCAAATTCCCTTCCTCTTGAAGGCTAAATGATATTCCACTGTGTGTACGTGCCACGTTGCATTTACCTGTTCATCCCTTGATTGACATTGGGATGTTTTCATTTCCTGGCTGTTGTGAATAATATTAACATCTCACGTATGCATTGTCTTCTTCCATGGGGAATGGGGTTAGCATCAATATTCCAGTGGTTAGGATGTGTGTCAAAAGAAAAAAGGGCCGGCTCAGTGGGATGAACTCCAAGGAACTGGCCGGTTCCTAAGATCAAACGTACATAACAGCCACATGGCAGGGATTTGGTGGTGAAGGCACGTCATTCAGATTCAAGGCAAAGCCAGCACTGGGTTGGGGATGAAGAGTTCACAACGAGAACTGGCAGGGCCAGGGCTGGGCCACCTGTCAGGACCCAGAGTACGTGGGTGACCAAGGATATGGCAGGGCAGTGTCTTAGTCTGCAGAACTGGAGGGCCGGGGCCCAGGCCCACCACAAGGAGATGTGGAGGCTGAGCCACCTTCCTCCACTGGTGGTCCAGCACTCTGGCCTGTGGCGAGGAGCTGGTGAGCTACTTCGGGCAGTGGGACAGAGAAGCAGAGGGTGGAGACAGGGATTGGCAGCAGCTAACCCACTGCACCCACCTGCGTGCCCGTTGCCCGGTTCACTACAGCCCATCCTCTCTCCAGTTCTTCCGTGGCCAAAAAGAATACAAACTTTTCAAGGCAGCTTTCACACCCAGCTCCCCTTTAAAATCACCTAATGGGGGGCACCTGGCTGGCTCACTTGGAGGAGTGTATGGCTCTTGATCTCAGAGTCATGGCTTCGGGCCTTCGAAGCCTCACGTTGGGAGTAGAGATTACTAAAGAAAAGAAACTTTAATTAATTAACTTAATTAAAATCCCGAGTTGGTTTGTCTCGACTGGGCATGGGTAGACTTCCCTTTCTCGCAACTAGGTGGAGCCCAGGAAGCTTCCACTCTTGAAATTTGCAGGCGGTGCTGTGAAGCCTGGTGGGAAGTGCCGCAGGGCTTCCGTCGCCAGATGGGTCTGCTAGAGTCAGCCTGGAAAGTGTGCTGCTGAGTGGTGGGGTCTGCTGAGCAGCCGGGGAGATCATGAAAGGCCTCCCTGAGCGTGGATGAGCGCTGCCCTGCCAGAGGGTGTGTGCTGGGTCTGCTGGGTGCAGGGCACGACCATGCAGCCCCAAGCTAGAACTCAAAATCCCCCATGATCCCTGCCCCCTTGCTGCCTGGTGCTGCTCAGACGGTCTTTGGCACTGTTCCAACAGAAGGGGCCCTGCCTGGGAGGTTTTTATTTTTGCTGTCTGGGTTTTTTTTTTCCCCCCTGGGGGGAGCAAAGGCTGCTCCCAAACTGCAGAGACATCACGGCATCGAAGGGGGAGCGGCCATCCCACGATTAGCCAATGAAATCGTCTCCTGTGTCTCAGCTGTATGCGTTAGTATATTTCGACATCACCCGTCCATACATCAGTGAGGCTGGCAGCCTCCTTTAGTGTTCTCAAAAGTCATATTCCTGTCTGGTAGAAAGGAATAGTTGAAAGATGACAGTGGACCAGTGGGAAATGGCCCCTCCCTCCTTCTTTCCCCCGCCGTCCATGGTCCCCGAAGAGAATGAGCAGCAAAGAAACCCCAGCTGCACATGGAGAGGAAGCTGCTAACACTGGCTTTTCTTCTCCCGGTGTCCGGCAGCTGGTGTTGCGAATCAATGCCATTTATGAGGCCCGGAGAGGAAAGAAACGCGTGAAGAGGCTGTCCCAGTCAACGGAGAGCAACTCAGGAAAAGGTACAACCCCCGCCACCGCCCCAGCTCCCCCCACAATGTGAAAAGAGGCGCCCTGTTGTTTTGGGCTGGCTCACCAAACAGGAGACCAAGTCGGTGCTTTGTCAATACCTCCTGTTGCCCTGCAACAGCGAAGAGCTGGGAAGGAGCTCAGCCTGGTGGTGCGTCCTCTGGTCCTGTTTCACTGTCTGTCCGTCAAGCCAGCCCAGCGCTGCAAGCTCTGAGCTCACGCTGGGAGCCGCCTTCTTTGCTTCGGGTACATAAAAGGAACCAGTATCTGCTCTATTACTGGATATAAGTACCATCTGAACTAGAGCCACATTAATTTGGAAATTGCATTTAGTTGGACGAAGACATCCTTTATCTATTACATCTAAATCGACAGAAAGAAAATAGCCCCTCTGAAGCAGAAATCTTGGATATGGGTCATTTCATACAAAAAGTTTCCTGTATTAGAAAAACTTTCTTCCTGTTGCCATTTTTTGTTTGTTTTTCTGTCTAGTGACAGATGAGAACAGTGAGTCTGACAGTGACACGGAAGAGAAGCTGAAAGGTGAGAAGACCAGCTGCGGTGCAGGGCACAGGCAGGGGGCTGGGGAGCTACCGAGATGGCCCTTCCTGCTTAATGTGAGGGAGGGCACAGAGCGTCCTTGCACGAGCTCGTAGGGCAAGGTGTGAATGTCTAAGGGGACAAGGGGACCCACAGGGTGCGTGGGGCCAGGTCAGTCCTGAGCAGGACCAGCATGGGCCTGTTCAGTCACTGAGCCTGTGGGTCCAGAGATGCAGGGGGGCTACAAACACAGTAGCCCTTCCCCGTGTCTTTCCGTTACAGGTGTTTTCCACACCTGGAAAGTATAGCACTGTTGGCCTGGAGTTCTAGATACCTGGGCTCTTGTCCTACTCCTGTGAAAACTGCTAAAAGAACAGGAGGAGATCACTTAAGATCTCAGGGCCTCTAGTTCCTCTTGTGTCAAGTGAAGTCACTGAAGTAATTGGTCTCTGTAGATGTAAATTTGGTGACGTTGGTCTAGGCTTTAGTGAGTTTTCCACAACTTCTCAGACCACAAGAGGAAGCCCGAGGGAGCCATAGTCCAGACCTGCTGAGTGAGGTGACGGGGCCCATCCGGTCAGCAGCCCTGCTTCACTCGTGTCTCCCCCACAGCTGCTCTCTGGCCCACCTCTAGGATGAAGCAAGCCCTTTTCCGCCACAGAGAACAACTGCAGGAGGGAAGGTGGCGGGAGCTCCCAAGTTAGTCATGGCTCTGCCGGGTCTGTCATGCAGATGATGACAAAATCCCCCCACTCTCACAGCTCTGTGGTCTGGATTTTGTCACATCTCACAGACTGAAAGATGAAGGGAATGTGTGAGGGGAGACGTCAGTGTCCCCACCCCATCTGACAGAGGGCCACAAGGATGACTCAAGCGGCTGCCCCAAGTCCACCCAGCTAACCCATGGCAGAGCAGAGCCCCGCATTCCAGACTTCCGCACCCCCATTAGCCTGGCGGCCCCTCTGGTGTTGCTCCTCCCTGAAGTCTGGCAAGGACCCCAAACAAAGAGTTTCCTACTAATTTGTTAAATGTGGGAACACTTTTGGGGAATGGGAAGGGGTACTCTGGGCTGAGAACCACACAAGCTGTCACGGATCTGTGCAGTTCCACGTTGGAAAGAGTCGCACCCAGGCGCTCACTGTCCTCTCCCCAGCTCACAGCCAGCGCCTGGTCAATGTGAAGTCCCGCCTGAAGCACGCTCCCAGATACCCCTCCCTGGACCGGGAGCTCACGGAGTACCAGCAGAGGCAGCTGTTCGAGTACTTTGTGGTCGTGTCCCTGCACAAGAAGCAGGCCGGGGCTGCGTATGTGCCAGAGCTCACCCAGCAGTTCCCGCTCAAGGTACAGGGCGGTCCACAGCCCTCATGCCATCTTGTTGGGACTCACGGTTTCCGGGAGGTGCGGGGGTCTGAGGAGCGCTCAGTGTCTACAGGCTTGGACCATGAGTCCTCAGTAGGGTATAGCAAATGAAAAAAGCTGCTGCTTGAGAATTTGGGAGGTCCCAGGAGGTGAGGAATTCAAAGACTCAAAGTACAGACAAAAACACTTACTCACTTCCTGTGGTGACTCTGCTGGCCATGCCATCCTCGTCATCCTCCCTGTCTCCTTGTCCAGCCCCATCTCTTCCCGAGCTGTCCTAGAAGCCTCTTTCCCACCAGCCACACAGCTCTTCCCAGGGAGGGCTGTATTTGTGTCCGTGCTGAACATCTGTACGCGTACCATGTACCCCCGGGTGTGTGCACGAGTGTCCTATTCTGTTCTAACACGGTTCGTGGAGTGGCCCTAAGAAAAGCCTAAAATGGCATGACCCATAATGTAGAAATTATTTTTAGGCTTTGGCCTCAGGATTAAAGAGGCTCTATCCAGCCTAACCAGAATTTACTGAGACCTTATTACATTCAAGCTGTTTTCTTCTTGGCCGCATCATTACAGAAATGAGCAAAATGTGTTTGCTGTCCTCAAGAGGCTCACACTCTGACAGGAGGGCAAAAGATAAGCATACAAAGACTCATGAGGTAGAATGTGACACTGTATGTACAGTTCCTACAGTGAAGGTGCTCAGAGGCAAGAAAAGGGGAGGAAGAACATGACCTGGTCCCCTCAGGGGCCTCCTTTTGCTGCCCAGCCATGCAGCCCAGCCATGCATAATCCCAGTATCTACAGAGGCCTAGGACTCCTCCTGTTCTGGGCCAGCGTCCTTCTGTCCTGCCCATGTGGTCTAGTGCAGCAATCAAGTCCTGTCCTTGGCATTTAGGACGGAAGGTGTATAATTGAAGTAAGCCATGGGCATCAGCCCTCCTAACTGGCTGTATTCACTGCCTTTAGCTGACCTCCAGGGGTGATCCCCTGAAAACTCTAATACTATAGGTATGCGCACATTTATTTACTTCAAAATATGTTATTTATTTTTGGGGGAGAGAAAGAGAAGGGGGTGCAGAGGGAGAGGGAGAAAGAGAATCTCAAGCAGACTCTGCTGAAAGCAGAGCCCAAAGCAGGGCTCGATCTCACAACCCTGAGATCATGACCTGAGCTGAAATCAAGAGTTGGACCATTAACTGACTGAGCCACCCAGGTGCCCCACAGATACGCCCACATTTAGTTGAAGCCCACACGGAGCAAGCACCAAGGCATGAATGACTGTTTTTTATCCTGTTTACTTCCCTCAGGGCCTAGCACAATGTTATACACATGGCAATATTTAATCAATGTTTCAGGAACAAAGGCATTAATTCACGAATTAATGAATAAATCTCCATAATTATTAAATGCTTATAGTTTCCAACCTGGAATCCCCAGGCTCTTAGACATCCACATTAAAACTTCTTTTGAGGGGCGCCTGGGTGGTTCAGTGGGTTAAAGCCTCTACCTTCAGCTCAGATCATGATCTCAGGGTCCTGGGATCGAGGCCCGCATCGGGCTCTCTGCTCGGTAGGGAGCCTGCTTCCCCTTCTCTCTCTCTGCCTGCCTCTCTGCCTACTTGTGATTTCTGTCTGTCAAATAAATAAATAAAATCTTAAAAAAAAAAAGAAAAAAAAAAGAAAAAGTCATCTATAATCCCACTCCTCATCGAACTTAGCATTTTATTATGTTTTCTCCTAGACTTTTCTCATAGCATAGTTTTCTGACAATACTGGTGTTACATATTGTCTAATTCTTGTATCATGTTTTGTAAATGTATCATTATTTAAAACATATTTTTTATGTATTTATTTATTTGATGGACAGAGATCACAAGTAGGCAGAGAGGCAGGCAGAGAGAGGGCAGCAGGCTCCCTGCTGAGCAGAGAGCCCAATGCAGGGCTCGATCCCAGGACCCTGAGATCATGACCTAATTTGAAGGCAGAAGCCCAACCCACTGAGACACCCAGGTGCCCCTAGAAACTTATTATTATATTTTTAACAATTTTCTTAAGGATTTTATTTTGAATATTTTGAATATTTTGAATGTTTTGTGACCATTCTATACATGCATTTTTTGCGGGTTAGGCTATATTATATCTTCTTGCCTTTTCTCTGTCAGAAGAAACTTTCCTCCCTCTTTCTCCTACTTTCATGAGTTTTATCCCCCGCTTCTGTGGTCACCTTGACCAAGACTTACTCTTCATATTTGCACACTAGAGATCATGCCTGCCTTGTACCACTAAATGCTGAACACCGTGTAATTACCTTTATGAGAGTTCATGGAGACTGGGAAATTTTCTGGCTCTTTTGATTGCTTGTATTTGTGACAGACAGCTCCCTGTCTCACTTCCGATAAATGAGTGTGTGTGCATTTGAGAGCACGTATGTGCCCATATGGGTTGATAACTCCTATGTTGATGACAGCACATGTAGACACATGTGTGTACATACATATTTTTGTGTGTCGTGCATGTGATCAGAGAGGTGGGCCATGTAAAAAAGTGCTGTAACTTGCTTCCCTACAGGGCATTCTCTGCAGTTCTCTAGTGGTTTCCATTGTGGAGAAATGTCCCTGTTCTTTCCCTTTGTCTTCTTTATGGCTCTTCCCTCTGTGGTGATAAATGACCCCTTCCAACAACTACACTGATATTTGCTCCCCTGGGAGACTGTCCAAGGGCAGTCAAAATTATTGTTTTGGCAACAGTCTGAGCTAGTGAATTATCAACTCAAAAACTGCTCCAGGACCAGTTGGAATCTTCTGGGTCACGGATGAGAGAGAGAACTCATTATATAGAAAAGAGATAGTGACTACTGATTCTGAAGAAGGGAAAACCAAAGGACAGTTACTGATTGGCTTAAAGTCTGTAAATGGTGGCTGTGTTTCATTCATTGGTAGTTGTCTCAACCATCAATATTAGCAGCAGCTTTAATTATATTTGCTGTAGCCTAAGGGGAAGCATACTAGAATAGGTTTTAAAATTGAAAAAAAATCAGCCCAGTGCTTTATTCCTTTGGGCACTCTCTTTAGAGACCTCCCCTCTCTGACATTTGGTGTCCTGGAGAAGGCTTATAGATCCCCTGGGAGGCTGTTCAGCAGTACTGCTGGTCTGCAGACTTCAGAAGCTGTCTGCAAAGCTGCTTTGAGGTGAAGGTCAATGGCAAGCCCCGAGAGACAAAATAAGAAATTGATGGAAAATATTACAGAAAAAATTTAGGTTAGATAGTAATTACAGTTTTCTAACCTGAGAAATTCAGGCTCCACTTACTTCAAATATTGGTACATCAAATTACTGAAGGTAACTTGAGCATAATTTGTTTTTAACTCTTTGTAAAGAAAAGTTAACAAGTATAAACCTGTCAAGAACAAACAACAACAGGGGCGCCTGGGTGGCTCAGTGGGTTGGAGCCTCTGCCTTCGGCTCAGGTCATGGTCTCGGGGTCCTGGGATCGAGCCCCCCATTGGGCTCTCTGCTGAGCAGAGAGCCTGCTCCCCGCCACCCCGCACCCTGCCTGCCTCTCTGCTTACTTGTGATCTCTTTCTCTGTCAAATAAATAAATAAAATCTTAAAAAAAAAAAAACAACAACAACAGAGCCAGCAATTCTTCCCAACACATTAGAAGTACACATTTATTTTTTAAAACACTAATTACTGAGGCAACTGGGTGGTTCAGTGGGTTAAAGCCTCTGCCTTCGGCTCAGGTCATGATCCCAGGGTCCTGAGATCGAGCCCCGCATTGGGCTCTCTGCTCAGCGGGGAGCCTGCTTCCCCCTCTCTCTCTGCCTGCCTCTCTGCCTATTTGTGATCTCTGTCAAATAAATAAATAAGGTCTTTTTTTTTTTTTTTTTTTTTAAGAAAAGCCAATCAGTAACTGTCCTTTGGTTTTCCCTCCTTCAGAATCAGTAGTCACTATCTCTTTTCTATATGAGCATGAGCAGGGAGGGGGCAAAAGGAGAGGGAGAAGCAGGCTTCCTGCTGAGTAAAGGGCCCCATACAGGGCTCAATCCTGGCACTTCAGGATTGAGCGCCCCTAGGGGGCACCTGGGTGGCTCAGTCAGTTGAGCATCCGACCCTTGATTACAGCTCAGGTCATGATCTCAGGGGTCATGGGATCAAGCCCTGCTTCAGGCTCCACAGTTAACAAAGGGTCTGCTTGTCCCTCTCCCTCTGCTCCTCCCCACTACTCTGTCTCTTTTAAAAAATTAATAAAAGTAAAAAAAAAAACAAAACAAAGTCATCTCTAGCTAGATTCCACACCAGCTGTGTGACCATGGACAAATCACTTAACATGTCAGGGCTATTTCCTTATCTCTGAAATAAGAATGTGACAGTGGATGATGACTAGCTTCCTTTTGCTTCTGACAGTCAAGGACATTGAAATTAATTGTAGTTTACTGTAAAATGTAATTTAACTGGATGTATTCACTAAGAAGTGTTATAAAATGTCTTTGCCTGGATTGAGGAAGGGCAGCTTTGAGGGGCCCAGAGGTTGGAAGACCAGATTCAAGGCTCTGCCTTGCAGACTCGTAAATCTCCTGTTTGGAGGGGATTGTTTTGACACTTTTTCCTTATTGATTAAAATAGTCATAGTCCAGAGGCATCTCGGTGGCTCAGTCATTAACCATCTGCCTTCAGCTCAGGTCGGGATCACAGGGTCCTAGGATTGAGCCCTGCATGGGGCTCCTGTTCGGTGGGAGGCCTGCTTCTCCCTCTCCCACTCATTCTGCTTGTGTTCCCTCTCTCGCTGTGTCACTCTCTGCCAAATAAATAATAATTATTATTATTATTATAGCCCAGGGGCACCTGGGTGGCTCAGTTGGTTAAGGTTCCACCTTTGGCTCAAGTCATGATCCCAGAATCCTGGGATCCAGTCGCACATCCCTGCTAAGCAGAGAGCCTGCTTCTCCCTCTCTCTCTGCCACTCCCCCGCTTGTGCTCTCCCACGCTCTCTCTCTCTCTCTGTGTCAAATAAGTAAATAAAATCTTTTTAAAAATAATGAAAAATAAAAAAGTTATAGTCCACAAAATATACAATATACAAAAAATTATAAAATAAAATAGTTACATTCCAGAATGTTAAACATCAAGAATATTTTTTTAAGATTTTATTTAATTATTTGATAGAGAGAGAAACACAGCGAAAGAGGGAACACAAGCAGGGGCAGTGGGAGAGGGAGAAACAGGCTTCCCACCCAGCAGGGATGCGGGGCTCGGAGCCAGAGGCAAACAGCCAACAACTAAGCCACCCAGGCACCCCAAGAATATTTATCTAAAACACACTATTTTGGGGATGCCTTGGTGGCTCAGTTGGTTAAGCCGCTGCCTTTGGCTCAGGTCATGATCCCAGAGTCCTGGGATCAAGTACTGCCTCAGGCTCCTTGCTCAGTGCGAAGCCTGCTTCTCTATCTGCCTCTGCCTGCCACTCGGCCTGCGTTTGCTCTCTCCCTCTGACAAATAAATAAAACACATGATTTTGTTTTCTCCTGACTTCTCACAGAAGCCTAGAGTTGACAGTGCTCTGGGAAACAAAGGCCCCAGCAGACTGAGCTGCAGTCCCTTCTTGAGGTTAAGGTGGTGGTCTCACCTGTGGGAAGGCAGAACGTGTGGTTTTGCAAGCGTCTGCCTCTCTCTCCCATGCTGGGCTTTATTCCCCAACCTTCTCTCACTCTTCTCCCTGCAGTTGGAAAGGTCTTTCAAGTTCATGAGAGAGGCTGAGGACCAGCTGAAGGCCATCCCTCAGTTCTGCTTCCCCGATGCCAAGGACTGGGCTCCCGTCCAGCAATTTACCAGGTAGGAGCTGGCTTCTCCCTTCCACACCCCCAAAGGCTAAGGCAAGAACCAGGGAGGCTGTCGGAGAGGACAAATGCCATAGATCAGTCTTGCTGCCACCCAGCCTGATGGGCCCCAGGAGAGAGATGGCCCCCACCTGTGTTTTAAAACATCCCTGAAGAGAAGAACTGCCTTACTGGCTATGCAGATTCCCAGGCCTCTCGCTAAGGGGGGGCATATGTTTGGTTCATAAGCCTCTGTGAAGGGCAAAGTAATTCTTGGTCTAGGAGAAGCTAGAGGAGCATCGCCTAGCTCCCTTCCTTGTCCATGCTCTGGAAACATTTAATAGCGGCCCATCCAGCTGTGAGATCCTGCTTTAACCAGGTTGTTGCCTACCTGTATCATTTTATCAGACGTTCAGCGACTGACCAAACTCAGGGGGCTGCTTATCCTGTGTTTGAGGCCCGGCAGTCTCTCAGGGCAGTCCGAGCCCCTCAGGGGGCTCAGAGGAGACAGTTCTCAGGGAGGGTCACCCCAGAGGTTCCAAGAGGGACACAGAACTATCCGTCTCTTTGGCTGCTCCTGCACTGAGTCACGTCCCTGGAGCAGCGGATGCCATCACACCCTTGAGCTCACAGAGGGCAGCAGTCCCAGTCGATGTTCCGTAGCGATGGGATGGCTCAGGTGCTGAACGCTAGGAGACCACATCCTCTCAGGGTGCAGGGACACTGTAGGTGTCCCTCCCCCCTCCTCTGAGGCCCAAGTCTTCAGCTTTGAAAAGAGGCTGAAGCATCCCAGGCAGACGGTGCAGTAAACTTCAGGGAGACGCTTCCCTTTGCCCCCAGGCTTTTTTAGAGCTTTTTGGGAGAGCTTCCCTCTTCCTGGCACAGATCCCCAAACTACAGATGCACAAAGCTCCTGCACAGAGATGGACAGACAGGACAGGGAGGAGCCCTTTCTGCCAGCCCCCTCCAGAATGTCCCCTGATTGCTCTCTGCCAGGTGTCTTGTTTTGTTTTGCTATGTAATGCACTTTTGTTTCCCCGACCTCAGTGAAACCTTCTCATTTGTCTTAACTGGAGAAGATGGGAGCAGACGGTTCGGTTATTGCCGAAGACTACTGGTTAGTACACTACTGTTGGTCCACCAGGGCTCTGGGCAGCGCTGGGTCTGGGGCTTCGCCGTGTGCCACAAGAGAAGAGGAAGGAAGCGTGACAGGTTCATCAGCAGAGTTAAAAAAAGATTTGGGGGTTCATCTCAATCTAACTGGTAGGAAGGAACTAGAACTCCGTCTCCTTTAGAAAGAAAATACTTCCTCCGTTATTTTCCCTGTAGAAGAACTTTCTGTCCTTAAGCCAAATGTTCTTTCTAATAAAACGTGCTAGACAGACCCAGAGAGCTTCTAGCGCACACATTCATAATGGTTTCTAAGGACCAAAGAAGGATAGTTCTGTTGTTCATGCTATAGATCCTTCAAGAACGTCTTCTTCAGAACAGTCACCGGTAGGAGTCAGGATTGTAATCCAATGAAAGGATCATGCTAGCCCATTTTAGAGCTTGTCTTTTTGAGACCCATTCTTTTGAAAATCTTTAGTAAGAGCAAATCATTTTCCACTGAGAGTATTTGAATCTTCGAAATAAGCTGATATAATTTAGAGTCAAGATGATGCACAGCACATAGTAGGTATCCAGTAAATATTTGTTGAATGAATTAGTGAATAAAAAGCAGGGATAGTAATTTAAAAAGTTAAGTGGGATAATAAGGTTTGGGGATGAAATTACTTTGACATATTGAGATTGATTTTCATTTAAATGGTTTGAAAATTAGCCTAAAATGCAGTTTCCAAAAAGGATGTTCAGAAATAATTTCTGATTTGGAATTATCATTATAATAAACAACATTTGGTTTCAACATAGCTCCTTAAGAGAAACCACAGGGATTGGGGTAAACAAGTTACGCCTCCTTTTTGGTTCCATAGGCCATATTGAGCACCTACTGTGCGCACAACACCCTTGATTTGGTCACTTCAGGAGAATATAAATGTATATACTCCATGACCAGAAGTGCTCCCCACTTATAAAATGGGGTTGGTAACTCTTACCTAATGGGTTCTCAGAAGTGGCAGTGAGGAAACGTCTGGCACATGATTGGCACTTAAAAATGTTTGGGTTCTCTACTTTGAGATGGTAACACTCATGATTTCCTTGTTTCACTCCAAAAAGCCTGGTGGCAAAGGGAAGCGTCTCCCTGAAGTTTACTGCATCGTGAGCCGCCTGGGATGCTTCAGCCTCTTTTCAAAGGTGAGGACTTGGGCCTCAGAGGAGGACGGAAGGGAAGGCAAGGCAGAGCCAGGGAGGACATAGGAAACACCTTGACTCCTGGTACTTGTATAATCGTATCCCAGTATAGTTTCCTTCCCTCTTTCTCCCCCCTCACCTCCTGTGTTCTCCTATCATTAGTGCCCGCAGTGAGAGCCGGTGAAGGTCAGGGCCCAGAGAAAGGGGGTGTGGGGAGAGTCGAAGTAATTGCAGAGGGTCTTCCCAGAATATTCCTTGTGCTTTACTTACTTCCAAGCATTGTCTTTTGTCCTATTCGCTTTTTCATGACAAAAAGGCCGCTCTGATGGATGGATGTACAAGCATCTATGTATGTGTGTGGTGTGGGGGAGATATTTGTTACTGTAGTAGGGCTCTAAATGGATCCAAAACTTACTCTCGTCCTCTTTCGGAGAAGAGAAGCCAATGTATTAAGACCTAGGAATTGCCGGACTGTGCTGGCTCGTCCATCCCACTATTCTCTGTGGGTAGAGGGAACTAATTACTATTGTGTATGATGATAATGTCAAAATTAGGTACAATCCAACATTCATATCCTACATTAACCAGACACAAGTATCTAATCCATAAAGTGATTTTAAATTCACCTTGTATTTTCAGTCTGAGCTTTGTTTCGGAGAATTGAAGTCCTATGTCTACTGTCCTCGGGTGGCAGACAGCGCTTCCTAAAAGCATTCCGAAGTGTGTCTTCCTCCTGCCCACCCTCCACTTACTCTCAGAGGAAGCCTGATCTATACTGATCTAGTGTAATCACTTGCCTTGGTAGAACTTGCACTTCTGTGCAAGTCTGTTAGAAGTAAAGAATGGTATCGATGTATCTGTGTTCCTGCCTCTACTCCACTGGGGTGATAAGCCTTTTACACGGAAGTTGGTCACTTACAGGCTCTAGGACAGTTACGCATTTCTGCTCACCCCGGTCTCTCTCGGGGGGTTATTTAAACATGGAAATAAGGCTGTGTCACAGCCTTTGTTTTTGCACAAACGCTGTCGGAAGGTAGAAGTGAAACAGCTGAGTTAACCCAGCATCCAGTGGTGGCTTTGGAATTCACCTGAGCTCTGTTGTTTGTCATGGATGGGGAATGACAAGCATGTGAACTTACTAACACCGTGTGATGCACAGTTCTGTGTTTTCATGGCATTTCTGTGACTAGGGATATTGTGAGAGTGTGGTATATGCCATGCCAAAGACCAAATAGCAAATATGCTGGCTAGAACCAGAAACAGAGCTTTGGCGAACCGATCTCTAAAACTTGAGCTATTCCCAGGTGAGGGACAAGGATGACTAAAATGACATAGTGTCCTCTGGTACAGAGAAAGGAATCAGGGTGCCTGGCTCGCTTAGTCCCTAAAGCATGTGACTCCTGATCTCAGGGTTGTGAGTTTAAGCCCCACATTGAAAAACAGAAACAAAGAACGAAGGGATGGAGAGAAGGAGGAAAGGAAGGAAGGAAGGAGGGAGGGAAGGGGAATCCTCTTCAAGAAGAACAGCTTTAGAATCTCTGAAGAAAAGTATCCCATTAAATATCACTACAGTCACGCCGCGTAACAAACCACAGTGGCTTAAAGCACCAGTCATTTATTCTTAGAGACGCGCAGGTCATCTGGGGCTTGGCTTGGCTCTTTTCCACTGGGCTCACTCATGCCTTGTGGGTAGGCTGGGAGTTGGCTGATCCAGACTGCCCGATCTCTGCTGTCAGAGGCCGCTCTAGAGTGGGGCTCGTCCACATGTCTGTCAGCCTCCTTAGACAGTGAGCTGGCCCAGGCGTGCAGTTCTTGTGGCTGAGGCAGAGGCTCAGGATGGCAACCAGAAACACATGAGACAGGCCTCCTAAGGCCCAGGCTTAGAACTGGTGCAGTGTCACTTCTGCTTCAGCGTCCCTCATCCTTCTTTATTAGCCCCTAACCAGATTTTTAAGACATTTTTCCCTGAATTGCCTCCCCACCGCCATAAGACTCTTTCTAATTTTTTGTTATGTTATTTTTTATTGTGCTAAAATAAACATAGAAGTTACTATTTTAGCCATTTTTAAAAGATTTTATTTTTAACTAATCTCTGCGCCCAACTTGGGGCTCGAACGCACAACCCTGAGATTAGGCGTCACATACTGTACTGACTGAGCTGGCCAGGTGCCCCTACTGTAGCCGTTTTTAAGTGTACAGTTGATTAGCATTATGTTCATTCACATTGTGTGCAACTGTCACCGTCATCCATCTCCAGAATTGTTTGATATCCCTGAATCAAAACTCTGCACCCATTAAACACTAATTCCCCGTTCCCTTCTTTCCCTAGCCCTGGCAACCACCATTCTGTGTTCTGTCTCTATGAATCTCATTACTGCAGGATCTCATGTAAATGGAATCATATATTTATCCTTTTGTCACTGGCTCATATCACTTAGCATATGTCTTCAAGGTTCATCCGTATTGGAGCATATGTCAGAATTTCCTTCCCTTTTAAGGCTGAATAACAGTCTGTTATTTGTAGATATCATATTTCTATATCTGTTTATCTGTAGATGGACATTTGTGTCACTTCTGCATTTTAGTTATCATGAGTCTTGCTGCTTTGAACATGGCCATTCAGATATCTGAGTCCCTGCTTTCAAATCTCTGAGCTATGTACCCATATATGTGGAATTACTGGATCACAGTAATTCTAGGTTGTTGGGTTGTTTTTTTTTTATAGATTTTATTTATTTCTTTGACAGACAGAGATCACAAGCAGGCAGAGAGGCAGGCAGAGAGAGAGAGAGAGGAGGAAGCAGGCTTCCCGCTGAGCAGAGGACCTTAGGATCCCAGGACCTTAGGATCACGACCCAAGCCGAAGGCAGAGGCCCCAATCCACTGAGCCACCCAGGCACCGCCTAATTCTAGGTTTTTTTGAGGAACTACCATACATAAAATCTTTTTAATTTTAATAATAAATTTCATTTAACCCATATATCTAAAATATCATTATTTCAACATATAATCAAATAGTCATTGATATTTTACATTCTTAATTTTGTATTCTGAAATCTACTGAAGATTTTACATTTATAACACACTTCAATTAGGACTAGCCGTATTTCAAGTGTTCAGTGGCTACATGTGGTATTATTATAAAAGGTATTTTAATTTAAATTCTTTGATCTACAACTAGATTATGGAGGGTCTTGCATTTAGATTTTTTTTTAAAAATTTTATTTATTTATTTGACACACAGAGATCACAAGTAGGCATAGAGGCAGGCAGAGAGAGTTGGGGGGAAACAGGCTCCCCGCTGAGCAGAGATTCCCAACTCTGGGCTTGATCCCAAGACCCTGAGATCATGACCTGAGCCGAAGGCAGAGGCTTAACCCACTGAGCCACCCAGGCGCCCTGCATTTAGATTTTTTAAAATAATAGTTTTATTAAGATATAATTTGTAAACCACAAAATTTGCCCATTTAAATTCTAGGATTCAAAAAAATAAATAAGGGACTCCTGGGTGGCTTAGTTGGTTAAGCCACTGCCTTCAGCTCAGGTCATGATCCCAGAGTCCAGGGATCGAGTCCCACATCAGGTTCCTTGTCCAGCAGGGAGCCTGCTTCTCTCTCTGCCTCTGCCTGCCCCTCTGCCTGCTTGTGCTCTCTCTATGACAAATAAACAAGTAAAGTCTTAAAAAAAAAAAAAAAAAAAAAACCTTTAAAAATAAATAAATAAATAAAATCTAGGATTCAGTGGCTTTTAGCATATCCACACAATTGTGTAATCATAACCACATTTATAGGACATTTTATTACCTCAGCAAGCAATGCCTGTTCCCATGAGCAGTCACTTCCCAACCCTCTTAACCATCAATCTGCTGTCTGTCTCTATGGATATGCCTATTCTAGACATTTTATCCAAATGGAATCAAATAATAAGTGGCCTTTTGTGACTGGTGTCTTTGACTTAGCCTAATCTTTTCAGCGTTCATCCATGTTATAGCATGAATCAGTATCTCATTCCTTTTTATGGCTGATTATTGTCTACATTGGAATATCACATTTTGTTTATCCATTCATCAATTGATGGACATTTTGGTTACATCCTCCTTTTGACTATTAGGAATAATTCTGCTGTGAACATTAATGCACTAGTTTTGGGTTTGGGGTTGTTTTTGTTTTGTTTTGTTTTTTCTTTTAAAGATTTTATTTATTTATTTGACAGACAGAGATCACAAGTAGGCAGAGAGGCAGGCAGAAAGAGAGAGGGGGAAGCAGACTCCCCTCTGAGCAGAGAGCCAGATGCGGGACTCGATCCCAGGACCCTGGGATCGTGACCTGAGCCGAAGGCAGAGGCTTTAACCCACTGAGCCACCCAGGCTCCCCGAGGGGTTTTTTTTTGGGGGTTTTTTTTTAAGATTTTATTTATTTGTCAGAGAGAGCGAGCACAGCAGGGGGAGCAGCAGGCAAAGGGAGAAGCAGACTCTCTGCTGAACGGGGAGCCCAGTGTGGGACTCGATCCCAAGACCCCAGGATCATGACCTGAGCTGAAGGCAGACACCTTATAGACTGAGCCACACAGGCGTCCCATTTGGGGTTGTTTTTTTTTTTTAATCATTTATTTACCTGAGAGAGAGAGTGAACGTGCACATGGGGGTGGGGCAGAGGGAGAGAGAAGGAGAATCTTAAGCATACTGTAGGCTGGTTGTGAGCTCGCCAACATGGGGCTCGATCTCACAACACTGAGATCCTGACCTGAGCTAAAACGAAGAGTCAGATGCTTAACTGACTGCGCCACCCAGGCGCCCCAATGTACTAGTTTTTGTGTGAACGTGTTTTCGTTTCTGTTGGTTCAGAAGTGTAGTTGCTAAGTCATCTAGGAGCGTTTTCTTTACCCTCTGAAGGTACTGCCAGACTGCTTAGCCAAGGGGCGTCACTAGTTAGTTCAGTCTTCCCCAGCAGTACACGCGGGTTCCAGTTTCTCCACTTTATCACCAACACTCGCTGTTGTTGATCTTTTGGTTACACACCCCCTCATGGGTGTGAAATGGTTTCTCATTGTGGTTTGGGTTTGCTCTTCTCTAGTGGTACCCTCAGAGAAATTGTAACTCACAGATACACTGGAGATCTTTTTAGGTACTGTGGGCCTTTAAAGGGCTACAAACCATTATAATACCAAAGTTTTTTTCAGCACCACCCCCAAGAACCAATTTTTATCCCCCTGGGGGCAATATTGCTCCCATTGATAATGCATGTATTGGCCCAGTAAGTTACCTGGCCAAATCTAAAGACAAGGGGGTCAAGAAACTTTACCACTTCAGTGGGAAGAACTGCGAAGATAACGGCAAAGGAGTGGGTACATAGAGAGGAGATTGGGGCAATAACATATGGGTTGAAAGTTTGGCCTGATGCAGACAGCAGGCCTTCCCCATAATGCTTCCGTCACGGTGGCAGGCCCATTTCATTGAGAGCAGAGGGATGCCTTGGTGCCCTGACATCAGGACAGCTAAGCTCTTTTGTGACCCTTGCAGATCTTGGATGAGGTGGAAAAACGGCGAGGCATCTCTCCTGCCCTGGTACAGCCCCTCATGAGGAGTGTCATGGAGGCCCCTTTCCCAGCACTGGGCAAAACCATCGTTGTCAAGAACTTCTTGCCAGGATCGGGAACTGAAGTAAGTCATCAGATTCCTACTGTCTGCTAGAGGAGACAAAGCTCCTCCGGCTGACCAAGAGGCTGGCTTCCAGTGGGCCAAATGTGAATGTGACATCAGTGAATGTGACATCAGGCCTAGTGAAATCCACCCGAAGTCCTGCCCCTCCATTCCGGGATTCAGTCCTAGAGCTATGCCATGGCAGCACATGGTATTTCTTTGCCTGACCTTGGCCTTACAGGTCAGGGACCTGTCTGAACACCCTTACTTTCTCTTACTAGCCCGTTACACTCATAGGTTGTATTTGAAACTATACTTTTGGTCTCCATCACCTCCATAACTTCATAATGTAAAACAGATTATCTTCTGGGAAGACAAGCTTATGTACTACTTTTTATTCACCTGTCTAGGACTTCGAGGTATGTCCCTTTTCTTGGCTGGGTTGGAATTTAATGCAGGACTTTATTTTCGTCCTTCCCATTCCCTTTATATGGCTCTGTGGATATCACTAGGCAGATCCCATTCAGACTTGAGTCTGTAGTTCCAAAAGCCCTTGAAAAAGCTGGTCACCTCTGGAGACAGGGGAGGGATAAGGATAGGTCTGGAGTCTTCTGGAACAGCTCAGTTTCCCAGAACAGAGGGAAGTATTCTCCGTGTTGCTAGAAAACCCTATACTATCCTATAGCAGATGGTGGATTGGCCATAAGGATGTTAACATGAGTGAACCCCACTACGGGCACAGCACCAGGCAGGTGCCATGCTCAGAGCAAAACATCAATTTCTGCTCACTGTGAAGGAGACAGCTATTTAAAGAGAAAAACACACACATGAGTAGTGACTCGAGATGAATTCAGGAACATTTCGACAAATACAGAAAGAGAAGATGTGCCCACCAAGCATACAAGCTGTAAATACATCATAAGGGATTGGCATGGGGTTGGGCTTACTGAGAAATGCCTTCCAGAGGAGGTGAGTCCTGAAGCTGCTGCTTGGCTCTGGTGGTCCTTCTGCACGAGCCTGCGACTCCATTCCAGCAGTTAATGTTCCCTTGTGAGGCAGAGACACTTTCCCGTGGGACTCCAAGTAATAGGACATCAGCAGTCATGGATCTCCCAGGGAGGGGGATGGTAGAAACGTGTCACTGGCAGGCAGAGCCTCCAAGCATTTGGGGCCGTGGGCCATCGATTCCGCCATCCTGTGTCCCCACCTTCCTCTGAACTTTCCTCACACTTGACTGTGCGACGGAATTCGTACCAAGTGTACCTGCTCCCTCATTCTCCCAGGATCTTTCTTTTCCCATCACTTTTGCCTTCCTCGTTTTCTTTCCCTTTTCCCCTGCGAATGGCTCAGCCCCACAGAGGACCTCAGAGCCTGCGGCGTGACCCCGCCTCACGGCTGCTTCTGTTCCCCGGCAGGTGATTGAACTGTGCCGCCCGCTGGACTCCCGGCTCGAGCACGTGGACTTTGAGTCTCTCTTCTCTTCTCTCAGTATCCGCCACCTGCTCTGTGTTTTTGCCTCCCTGCTTCTGGAAAGGAGGGTCATCTTCATCGCAGACAAGCTCAGGTACCAGTCTTGGTCACTTCCACTCAAGCGTCTGAAGGATAGTCGGTGGCGGACTCTTTGGGGTGTGGGGGCAGGTGACTGCCCGGGACTGGGGAGGCAGCCCCTCTGAGGGAAGAGAGCAGACCAGTGGGCCTCGGGGATGGGAGGTGTATAAGGCATACCCATCCTGTAAAACCAAGGAAGCCTGTGCTTCTCTGCGCTACTTCCCTGACCCTCGCCTACCTTGCATCGTCCCGCAGGGTGCTGGGCGCTCTGCTGTGTATAAAGGGCTGAGGACGGGAGCGCAGAGCTGTACTCAGGGTTTTCCGTCCGGGCGGGGCGGGGGAACGCAAGAGTGAGCAGAGCCCCAGGGACTGTGCTGTCTAGGCTTACCAGAGCAGCGCGTTCTGGACACCGAGGAGGGCACTCAGGCTCGGAGGAGGCCAGTTCTGGCTGAGTCCTGAGACTAAGAGCAAGTAGGAAGCACATTCCAGGCTAAAGGAGCTGTAGCTATCTAGACGAAGGCAAGGGGACAGGAGACCGAGCATGTCACCTTCAAAAATCTTGTAAAGCAGTTCACTGCAGAGAGAGGAAGGCGAAGTGGGGGGCAAGGAGCCAAGGTTCAAGGAGGTCTTCAGGGCCGTGTGAAACGCGGATGGCTCCCCAAGGCGGCCCTTCCTCTCCGTGTTAAAATAAATGACACAGAATCACACACACCTGCTCAGTGCTTGGTAGGATGCCCTCCATGTCCTAAGGTACACGTTCAATGATTTGCAAAATCATGTCACAAATCAGAGAAAAGCCAGAGGAGAGGCAGATAGGGATTTGAGTGAATTCTGAACTTTAAAAAAAAAAAAAAGAACTCCTGGCATTTTCATCACTCCAGAATACTGAATCAGAGCCTTCTTGGCTTTGGAACTGAGGGCACAGCAGCACAGATGGTGACCACCACTCCAGTTAGGGCTGAGAAGGACCAGCCAACCAGGGAAAGCAGATGAGGCCAACCAAGGAGTCCATCTGGAAAGAAGAAATGCCAAAAACACAAAAATCGAAGAACTGCGGTTTGGAGAGGAAATATGACTCCCAAATCTGGAAAACAAAAGGGAGGAAGAAGAATGGAAAGGACAGAAGGTATGAATGTGGAGCTCATCAGGAACGTGGTAGGAAATGGAATCCAGTCCTCTCCTCCCACTCCAGCCCATCTGGTCATCTTGGTGACGCTCCTCTTTGGACAGCGGCCACTTGGCTGCTCCCAGCCTGCTCCCACCCGGGTTTTGAGCGAGCTCTTCCCTGTTCCCATCATGCTTCTTGCACTCCAGTTGCCCTGGGGTCCGCGCAGGAAGCAGGCTGGCTCTCCGCCTGCAGCTGGTGCTGGGCAGGGGCAGCTCTCAAAGCTCGTGGGCACTGGGGAATTCAGGCGGGAGACTTCTAAGGTTGGGGCTCCGGAAGCGAGAGATGAGTAATAACCCTTCTGTGACCAGGGTCGGATTTCATCGAGTAGCTGTCGGTATTCCCTGGAAGCCCCGCTCTGTCCCCCGGAAGTAGGATTCTCAGACTCTGCCGTGGGGGAGGGGACGGGCTCTCAGGAAGGCCGAAGCAAGAAGGGAAGGCCAGCCAAGTGAGTGTGCTGCCCGCCCAGACTGGACAAGGGGCCACGCAGTCCCACGAGGACCTTGCTGCCGCGTTGAAGATGGTAGGCTCCGGAAGGTGCCGCCGGAGAAAATGTCTGCAAAGATGGGCATGGCTGGAAGGGAGCATGCCCTCCCCAGGCTTCCCTCGCCAACAAAGGGGAACACGAAGTATCACCTACTTTTCCTGTCAAAGTACAATGAGAGAGAAGGTGGGAACAGAACAGGTCAAAGTCAGATGCATCCCTGAAGGCCAGCAGAGGGGATGGGTCGGGCTTAGGGTACCAAGACTCCTGGAAGTGCTGTGACAAAGATGTCAGGAGGGGACTTGCCCACTTCTCACTCCTGCCTGGGCAGATTTCTGGGTTGACAGGCTGAAGGCCGTCCCCCTGAGCTGCCCTAACAAGAGCGGAAGGAGAGCAAAGGAAGGCCATCCCTGAGAATGGAGCCTGCCCCATGGCTGCCTCAGGGGTGGTTCTCCCAGCCCCTCCACCTGCTCTGCGGCAGCTTTACTGGGGGGACAAGTCCCCGATGTGGTCTGATCGGAGGAACCGTGGAGTGTCTCCTTGCCCACCTTCCACAATGCCTGGTATTCTGCCCTCGGAGACAGAGTCCCTTTGAACAGCAAACCCCCATGAGAGGGCAGAGGGGGTAAAATGCCACCTGGGGCTGCTGCACGGACAGGGTCCAGAGCCAGGCCACTGTGCAGTTAACTACCGTGTGTGTGTGTGTGTGTGTGTGTGTGTCTAAAACACCTGAATTTCCTTTGTAGACCCTTTAGGGCTTTCAGACTTGCACATCCGTCCCTCATCACACAGGGCCCAGGGCCCAGGGGTGCTCCCAGGAAGATCAAGGAAGCCTCAGCGTCCTCAGCTGTGGGCCCTGGGCTTCCTCATTTATGAAATCAGAGCTTATCTGCATGGAGGCCCCTCGTCACTGCCACTTGTGCAGCTCCCGTGTCACATTGTCCTGAGGGGCAGTCAGCCCATGCTTTTCCTATTACAAATGGCTCAAGGTTTTCTCTCTCTTACCCAGTACATTATCTTTCCGTCCAATACCTGTTCCAGGCGGACCTGGAGAGGTGGACAAACAAATAAAGGCCCGTAGAGCTGAGGCAGGAAAAGAAGGACTCAGGGCATGAGTGAGCCCGATGACAGTAGAAAGACGGCCACCGCAAGGAGCACTGGAGTGTCGCCTCCGGGCCAGGCTCGCGGAAGGGGTTGACCTGTACTCTTTCAGGCTCCTGACAACTCAGTCAGACAGCTTCTATTATTAGGAAGCTAAGAAGCACACAGAGGTTAAGTCACTTTGCTCAAGCAAAGTTCAAGTGGTTAGTGGGAGGGCTGGGCCGCAGGCAGCCTGGCTCCAGAGAAAATGAGAAGGAAGGAGGAGGAGCAGGCCTCGTGGTCTGGGGGTGGGGGTGAAGGGCGGCATCTGTGACCGCACCTACAGAAGTATATAAGGAAAGTCTTTTTTAAAACATGCCATTGAGACCCCCTGTGTGCTTGGCATCAGGCTAGAATTGTGTAGTGAAGAAGCTGAGACTTACGTGCTTTCCTCCCCAGACCCTCCCTCTCTGTGGCCTTCAGCTGGGGCCCAGTGAGGCCAGTGGGACCAGGCGACCCCACGGTCTTTCCTCGCTCTGAAATTCTCTCACTCCACGGGCCAGAGTGCTTGGCGCCTCCTGGAACCGTGCTCCTTCGAGCCTTGCCCTCCCTCTGATCCTGGCCCAGAACCTCCTAAGGGCCCCATTCCTGACCCCACCTCCTCAGGCATCCTGTGTTTTCCAGAGTGTCCCAGGGGATGACCATGTCTTGTACCCAGCTATGCAGTGTGGGAGAGGACTGTCTAATCCCTACAGGGCCCCTCTGGTGCAAATGCTCTGTGTGATGCTATGAACCTGCTGCTGAGGGAAAGTCAGCCCCCACACCCCACCTCTCCTCATGCTCCATAGGCTCGCTCCTCTCCGGCTTTATCTGGTTCGGTAGAAATCACTGGGCCACCTGTCCCTGCCACTGAGGCCTCCCGTAGAGCAGTTCTAATCCCCAACACTTCAGAGCTGGTGTGACACCAGGTAGCCGCCTGTGCTCATTTAATGTTCCTCTTAACGTTTCTAGGTTAGAGTTAAATATGCACCGTGTTGTGGGTCCTCTCCAGGATGCCCAGGCCTCTGCTCTAGACAGTGCTTAGCAGTCGGGGTGTCTCTGCCCCTCTTTTGCAGCTTACGCTGTCTGCTTCTGGAGTCCTCAGTGTCGGGTCTCTTTGACCCTCCGCTGTGACCCTTTCCCTGACAGGCCACCTAAGCCAGGATAGGGAAGTCTGGCTCACCTGTGAGAAAGTGACCCAGCTGGGGCTCCTGGCTGACTCAGCAACTCTAGCATGAGACTCTTGATCTTAGGGTTGTAAGTTTGAGCTCCACCTTGGTGTAGAGATTACTTAAAAATAAAATCTTAAGGGACGCCTGGGTGGCTCAGTTGGTTAAGCAGCTGCCTTCGGCTCAGGTCATGATCCCGGCGTCCTGGGATCGAGTCCCACATCGGCCTCCTTGCTCATCAGGGAGCCTGCTTCTCCCTCTGCCTCTGCCTGCCATTCTGTCTGCCTGTGCTCGCTCTCCCTCTCTCTCTCTGACAAATAAATAAAATCTTTAAAAATAAATAAATAAAATCTTAAGAAAAAGAAAGAGAGGGAAGGAAGGAGGGAAGGAGGCATGGGGGAAGAGAGCTAATGATCAAAGTACAGAAAATCCACCAAAGAACATCCTGTGTGTGAAGTTGCTGAGTGAAAAGGCCAGAACCCATCTTCCCTCCTCCGGCCTGTTCTGCTCACGGGGTATCCCTCTAGGAGGAATCTGCCTTCACCCACTGCTGCCTGAGGTACGGGCAGAGAGAGCCAGAGGGAATTGAAGGAGTCTTTGGCCAGGCCATGACAAGCTAGGGCTTGAGGGACAGTGGCTGGTTGAAAGTCGTCTGACCTGGGTAGGTCTGTAGGAGAGCCTTCCGCTTAAGCCCCCGTGAGGTCTCTCATCCTTATCACCACCGAGCACAGAACTCCACACACCACACACGATCCCATCTCCAGCCCTATTCAGCTAGAAGTGGAAGCAAGCCCCCTCATTCTTCTGATTTCCCCTAATCTTTGCGAGACGGCAGAACAGCACATGAGAGCAGGACACCCCACGAGCTCAGTGAGTGTGTGGCATCCCGGGGTGGACGTCAGCCTGCATTTGGCCAGTCGTCCTTCTGCCGTCCCCTCCCTTCCCCACACACAACGTACTTACTCTTCATTGCTAGTGAGTCTGCCCACGGCAAGAGGAAGTAGCTGGGACTCGTGGCAAGGACTGAATGAGTTATAAAAGAGTTTTAAGTCAAGCCAAAAATCTGTCAAATTTAGAAT